GGCGATGCAAGTAAAGTAAGTGGTTATATATAAGCTTTATTTCATCTTTTAGTACTGCCGTTTATACAACAACAATTTTTCAGCAAAGTTCAATTTATAATTTGCGATTAAGTAACACAAACTGGTGAAGCCTCATTGAGGAAAGCAACTGTCCTAATGGCGTTGCTGTAGTTTCATTACAAAAGACAAAAACATGTAAAGAAAATAAATATATAATATAATTAGTGACTCTAATGGCTGGTTTACATGTAATTAATTAGAAGTCAATATTTTTTTATTGAATTTTATGTGATTAAGTACGTGTATACACACAAATAATTAATAAGTAGCAAGTTATATAAGTGGTTGACAAAATATTAACTTCCTACTTATTACTCGTGTCTTTACACGTACTTAATTTCTTAAAGTTCAGTTAAAAATCTACTTACTGCTTATTACGTGAAAACCTTAAATCGGTAAAACGGTTTATTCAACGTCATCTCGTAGTTTTAAGAAGTATTACGTAGTCGTAGGATGTGCTTGAGTTGTTGCCTACGTGTCTAATGATAAATGTTACAATCGAATGGTTGTGTCCTTTTTTGTGCTTATTTGATCAAGCTATACGAAGGCAAGAAGCTACGACAACGCCATCTGCGATTTACTTGCCATCCCCATTTTCAAATTTAACACTACTTTAAGGTACAATCAAGCTGCCTATTTAATCTCCTGCTAAGTTTGGAAACTCCATCGCCGGACCCTTTGCACATAGCAGAGTTAATAAAAGAAGAAAAACCACTCAAACCCATAGACTTCTGTTACCGCGACGAGGAGGAAATGGTGAACGTCTTGGATTGCATTAGCCTTTGTGTTATGGTCGTGTCTTATTCTGCTGAAAGCATGAGAGGATACCAGATGCTAGTAAGTATTTTTTTTTTTAATTTTATTTATAGTTCTATCGTTAACTACTCATATTCAATTTATAATAGAAATTAAGATCGTAATAAACTCAGTGGTGCAGTAATTAGTGCTTTTAATATGCTATTAATAAGGTTCAGCAACTTTGACAAATGCTGGTCATCAGAGGGGTGACCAAAAATTTATAATCTCGTCTTTCATTGCTCAGAAAACACATCAAGCCATTCTGCAGTCGTTCTCACTCACCAATTCGTTCAGCCAAAATCGTTCTCTTTATAGGATCCTATTAAAGAGGTCTTTTGCACCCCAGCAATGAATAATATGCTGATTTTTTCTGTCGCTCCGTCAACGCTTTGACGACTCCAACACGTGTACCATCGTCATGTGACACTAACATAATTGATTCTTTATAGATCATACTCGAAGCGATACTACCCTGTTATGTGAAACAAATCCAACTACCAACATATAACAGGGAGGGTAAAACTGAAAAAGAAATCATACAACAACTAGCCATCGCCATCAAAACATTAGTGAACAACTGTGAAGGACTGTCTAAGTAAGTTAGCAGTAGTAGTTGGCTAATTTTGTAGAAGTAATAGTTAGTAGTTCTGTAATCGTCATTCGAATAACAATACCGCTAATATTAAAATTGACTTTTTTCAATAGAGACTTAAACTAATTAACTAGTAAAAAATTAAAGGTTGTATTGAATCAATCCATAGCTTTAAATAAATTAATTGTATTTAGATATGAAGTTCTATTTTTTAAAAACGTATATGCAATACTATAAAAGTTTATATTTCGCTCATTTGGTATGCAGTTGCGATTTGAGCGGTACCAAATAACGTACCGTGGCTGTAAAATTTTGGAATTTCCTGTAAATTATTGGATACGCGCTGCAAAATTTATCCGATAAAGTAGTGACATATCATTATAAACGTTATATAGCCAATTTGTTGTATCACGCGGTATTGCTTCAAATGTGCTGTACACGTCAGGTTACTACAAAATATCAAATTTCCTTAATCGATTTTGAGCTCTTCTGGCAACACATTAAGTGTTGCAGTCAATTTGAGATAGTAAAATATTTGATGTTATTGTGTGCTGTTGCTGCAATTAGCGACGAAATATGAAATACCTACACAGAAAGTACCTTACGATATCCTCTACTCATATCAGATCATACAACGGCCCCTACAGAACATCACCCGAACACAAAGGATCATCGCAGCGAGCAGTGCCTCGTTCGACCGCTACCAACATCATCTTTGATGATTCACACTCTAAGTTTGACAACTCCAAGATACAAGTTCCAGAATTCACGGGAGCTGAAGATTCTGAGGTTACTACTGCTTTTTGTTTACGTTATGAATAACCTAGAATTGATTGTTTTCGGAAAAATATTTAAAAATTTTCAAATGTTCATGTTAAATCTATTTCAGATTGATTTTTCTCCAAAAAGTGATATTAAATAGGAGCAAATACATTTTTATTTAATAGTTTCAATTGTTATTTCGAGCCGTGACGTCACATTGCAATAAACATGAGGAGTACGACTGCTTGCACGGAACAAAAATGTTTATATTTAGTGTATTGAAGTCTGACCACACAATGCTCCGTCATTGCCGCCCGCGTTTCGGTTCTTGTGATTCACGCACTATAAATCTTGTTATAGAATAACTTGCTTCTGCAAAAAATAAAATATACTTACAATTTATTGTATGGCGAAAAATACTACAAAAAAATAAGATATAAGTTATGTCATATTTGCATATTGTCATATATGCATTTGCAGTTGGTGCGAGCAGAATATCGCCGTCCACGCGACGTTCTACTGTCTTTAGTCGGAGAGTTCATCGGAAGGGCAACAACCAGATTATTAGATCTCAACGGTTCCAAAGGCAGCGGTGGTAGTGAAGGCAAACCTGTAGAACTACTGGACTCCAAGTCGCACGCTGTAAGTTAAATATGGAAGGCGATAAAAACTATATTTACCTTCAGATTTTAGATAAATTGATCTTGCTCTTGTCATTTTTCTGTGTTTTTATGTATGATGCAATTAATAATTTTGGTTGTACTTCTTGAACCTATCAATGATGTGAAATATAAAAAAAATATTAAGAAAAATACTCAAGCCACTTTAGTGGTTCTCCTGTCCAATAATATTAGCTACTTCGATTGTTTTCTTACGAATATCAGCATGACCTTGTAGTCACGTCATTAATAAAATTAACCTTAAAAAAATTGTCTTTGAAGGGCATTTTCATCGGTGATAAAGATACGTTATAGGAAATTGTTGTAATGCATTCATTGACAAATACATTAATACCCATTTTCACTAACCTAGAATAAGGCATAGCTTAACTAGAAATCACTTAATATTAAAAATAGCTTAAGCAGATTTTTTTATTTCACCAAACCTGTAATGTTAGGTAATGCCTTACTAAGCATTTGCTTAGGTAGGCTAAGTTTGTCCAAGATTTTGCATGCTTCAGTTCGACTTCTTTTCTTTAATATATTAAAGAGCTATTTATGTTTTCATTACAGGTAACAATGTATATTTTGAAGTAACAAACCAAAAATAATCGTGGTCTTGTATCTACCAAACACCAGTCATCAATATCCAAATGTAAAAAGTCTGAAAATTCAGACTATCTCTTTATTGTTTATTTCTTATTCCTAATATATAAATACAAAATTATAAAATTGATTTTGTCCCTTGACACATCCATTATGGTCAAAGAGTAAATGTATCTGTCATATTACAAATATGTCCAGTGCTAGGCGCCGATCAATGCATGTCTTAATTTTAAGCTTTACCCAAAATCGTTAGGTGACTCTTTTTCATTGGTGAAACGCATTTTCACCTTAGATAATGCCCAAATATTTAGGCTTCAGATTTGGTGAATCCTAAGTTTAGTGAAAACTGGCATGAAAGTCTCCCACTTTCTAATAGTCCGCGAAATTTAATCGACAGAATCCATATTTGGAATATGGGAGACTTTCGTAACGTATTCCAATGCGTGGCACGTAACCTGAATCAGAATGGCGAATACGTTATGGTACATTATCAGATATCAATCGAAGTATTTTGGAAACCGGAACCTGCGCGGAAAATCACCATTTAGGTTCAACTTACGTGACTCGTATTTTACCGACTATATTATTGTTATATTTTATTAATCGTTGCTCTCTGTATACCACTAGTGAAAACTTTAGAATAGTTACCATTTGCACTATTTATTAGCGTTAACTTCATGTTCTATGCTGCAGCGTCTCGCGGAAATAGCACATTCCCTCCTGAAAGTATCGCCATACGACCCTGAGTCTATGGGCTGTCGTGGTTTACAACGATACATGACACAAGTGTTGCCAGCTGCTGATTGGGCAGACGATGCTCTGAGACCTGCCCTCATTATGATACTCAGGCGACTTGACAAAGTATTTCTTAAAATCGCCAAGAAGCCCAGTATACGGGTGAGAAAATAATATTTTAAATTATATTTCTATATAATAATATCAAAAAGAAGAAAGATTTTGATTGTTTGTTTCCAACGAATAGGCTCCGAAACTACTAGACCGATTTTTCAATTTTTTCACCTACAGGAAGCTACATGATATAATATTAATATTTATTAGACCACAACAAAACAAAAGACATGTTTTCGTTACTTCTAAGATTATATGCGATTTTATCCCGAAAAACGGCAAATAAAGGATATTTAAAAAGTTACCATAGAAACCATTTTTTACTATTCAATTTGTCATTGTAATTATCCATGTCATGATATGAATCGATATCCAAATAAATTATTCTCTAGGGACCACGCGGGCGAAACCGCTGGCGGAAAGCTAATATTATTATATATTGTAATAATTACTGTGCCTACGAAACTACGAAAATAACGACAAAACCTTTTTATAGTGATTTTTTTATATTTTTCCAAACAATACTTATCCAGTATCCATTTTTCCATTACGTTTTTATTTTGTCTTATAGCTGACTAATAGTTTAATTAACATTTTAGAGAAATACAGACTGGGATTCGGCCGCTGTACTCTTGAAGGGTGTATACGAAACTATGATAAGATGTCCATATATAATGCACTGGCAGCAAGTGAAGACGCTCCTTAATACTGTGCAGGTACATTTCTTGTTACAAGACATCATACGCATAAAATACTTACTTTAAGATTTCAGTATACACTTATCATTTAAAATGAGATATTGGGACTTCAAATTTTTATCTAATAGTATGAAGAATTACTCGACAAAATATCATACGTAATATGTATGTAGTATTTGTAACTATATTTTTTTTATAGTGAGTATTTTTCACAGGCTCTTATAGTATCCGAAAATAATTCCGGTGAGAATCTGTCGTCGGCGACTGCTGCGCTTATGTCACAACCACCCCCTCCTCATTTTTGCAGCACTGTTGTAAGGCTGATCGCATTGCAAGTCATTAATACAGGGGTAAGTAACCTCATAAACATTTTCTGTTTTAGATCATAGCGGGTATTAAAATTTCTAACATAACCCTAAATAAAGCAATATAATTTTAAAGCTGGAACTAGTCTACCTACATTTTTGATATAATAAAATTACAACTGATAAGAACTTTATTTGAAATTTTACTATATAACAGCCAAATTAGATTATAATAACTGTAAACAAACCAAATTAGAGTCATCACAACTCAAATGATAAAAAATATATTAAACTAATATCCCATCAGAATACTGCTCATTACTTTATAATTTTACGAGTAATATTTTTTCTGCCGAGTATTATTAGAAACTACAATATTATGGAAAGTAGCAATAAAACTGGAATTATTTTTATTTGACAGCCCTATAACTTAATTCAGATCTTTAAAACATTTTTTGTACTTTTAAACTAACCTTCCAAATAAAGTTATCAATTGCTTTAAAACATTGCACAACATTATAAAGATTAGATAATTTTCAAAACACTGTAATATGTATAAAAAGGTTATTAACATCTGCCTGTCAATGGTTGCTAGGCATAGCTTTGTTATTAAACCTTCTTCATCGAATTTGGCTATAGTATAATAATATTACGAAGCTTATAGTTTAAAGTATTTGAATAATAATTATCTTAAAGTTGATATTTCGATATTTTTCTTACAACAGGATAGTTATTCGTTGGAACAAATGTGTGGCGGCAGTGCGATATTCCAAACTGCTGAAAAGACTGAAAACATGCTTATGAACTTATTCATGCCACTTTGTCTACGTGTTGGAAGCGGCAGAAAAGGTATACTTCTCTTGTTATTATTAAAATGCCTTTATTATTAGAATAAGTATTTAAAATCAAACTTCATAGTAGCAGAGAAACAATGTTCGAGTTACCTCAAATTATCAAAAATTCCCTACCGGTTATGAACACCATCAAGACCTAAAGTTGATAATTTGATTTTGTAATTTAAGTTTTGTATAAACTGTTGTTTACCTGTATTTTATAAACATATTCGAAAGGTCTTTCTTTACTTTAAGACATATGTCAAGCAATTTTTCTTCTTATTTTGCAGACGTACCACCTCTTCGGCAATCCGATGTCAGCTATCTAGTATCCGTAGTTCTAAACGCTCTATGTCCACCAGCTCCTCCAGGTCAATTAGCTGCTGTTAATGCTAAACTAAACGCAGCTGATGCTAGAGCTAACTCTCTCACCTTTACAGGTAGTAGAGACACCAGAAATACCACGAGACTCTCCAATCAACTTTATCGGATCGCGTTTCTAGGTACGAAACTATTTTTTATTGTTACTACAAATTATCTTATAATGAACGTTATATGTAAGGTATTAAGGCATTTATTGGGGATATCCTAACAAATGGTAGTGATGTCTGTCTTTACTTCCGATAGTTGGTGCTAGGATAATTTGTCGATCAAACGACAAACAAATTAGCGACCTCTTAAGTATAAGTACTACAGAATTTTGATAAAATATAATGGAAAAATATGGTTGTTACACCATGAAACAATTATGAAATTAATTAAAAATAGATGGATTTGATAAAGAGTTTAAATATTTAGTCCCTTAGATGTCAACTCATTTTCAAGTTATCAAAACGTCAAGATATATATAACTTACAACATATCAAATTATTTCAACAATAAAATTAACCAAATGACCGCCGACCTAGCTAGTGTTAGATAGAAAAGATCGTCTTGTATTAGCATCACTAATTGTCAATTCACTACGGGCATCCCTATCTGTCCGTTAGATGTCACTGTCACTTTGACGTTTGATCAGTTTCTCGCCAATATAATTCCGGGTTGTCATTCTTTTAAAACTATTGGAATGGACATTTGAACTTATTTTTTTATTTAATTAATTTTTACCCCACTATGGGCGCTTGTGCACTACACTGAATTTTCAGGTCCGGCGGTCCGATTTTTTCCGGTCCGATATGTCAGACCATATATAGGTAATGCTAGCAGTGTCAGGAATTTTACCGTCCGGGATTTTACTTTTCTCTATTCCGGTTTTTTCAGGACCGTGATGGTGGCAATGAAAACTGTGTTTACGCTTGTGCACTGCTGTGTCCGCGTTCCGGAAAATTCATAAGGAATAGGCTTGGGAAAAAATAGTCGATATGTGTATAATCGATATTTATTTATATTTTTAATTTCTAATTGTTAATTTCCAATAAATTTATAATCGATATTATTGTAGATTATAAAATGATATATTTTATATGATTATTTAATATAGTTGGTAAATATCACTGCATATGCTTTGGCAAACTCGGAATAATTCTAATTTGATGAGCGTTTGGTTCAAGTATCGCTACTTAGCTAGATTTTAGAATCGTATTAAAAGTATCGGTAACTTAAGGTAAGATAAATAAGTGTTGTTACGCTTAGGACGCCTAAACAACTGAACCCATCTTAATGGAAATTAATAAGTAACTTTAAGAAAGGACATAGGCTACATTTTATCGCGTAAAATAGGGGTTGAGAGTTTGCCAGGAAATTTGTCATTATCAAAATTTTTTAAGACAATTGTTAAGTATAGATAAATATTTGATAACGGAAGTAATAATAAAGAATAAACAAGATTATCAGAAGTAATTAAGAGACACTCAATGTCTTTTTCGCATTTAAGTCTATATTGTAATAAAATTTAAAATGACTGTTTGTGTCATAAATAAATTTAAAAAAAAGGAAGTATTTTAAGGGAAAATATTTCTGCTCAAAAAACTACACCACGCGTATAAAATTTTGCCTATATATAATACAGTCAACTAATCTCGTGAAGTTCATTTAGCATATTAATTCTCCGCTTACACGGCACTAATTTCGATTTGTTTACGAAATGACGCCTCCGACTGGTAATCGCTTAAAGTTGTTTTTACAAAACTTCGAAAAAAAATAGCACGTTTATAAATTTAAACATCAAGTACTAGACTATTATCAGTAATTTTGTTCTAATGTCACAGATATTTTTAGCTATTGTATGTGAATAATGCTGTTCCTAAATTAGTAAGGGTATAAGTTTTTACATCTGATACTAGTCATCCAATAGTAGTAAAAAAAATGCTTTCCATAATTATTATGGTTTATGTAAAATGATCAAGTCATTATATAGGTACCTTTCTACGTCTTCGAACGCAATTACGGACGTTCCAAAAATCTAATGTAAGTGACGTGTAGCTTCAAAGAGAGCTGCCCTACACTGCGCCGCTCCGATCAGGAAAAAAACGGACAAGTGCACAAGCTACTCATCCGGGTTTTTCATATCATTCCGGACCGGAAAAAATCGGACCGCAGGACCTGAAAATTCAGTGTAGTGCACAAGTGCCCTATGGCGGTGAAGCGAAAAAGAGCGTTATGATTTTATTTTTTAAAATATATAAATTGAATGGTAACATTTTCCTTTCACTGGCGATATCTTAGTTAGTTATAAAAACTAATTTCATCACTTGAGTGTACCTTTACCTATTAACATGTAGCTAAAATTGAAAAGTAAAAATCGAGAAATCGTACAAAAATGTTTTTTTTTTCGTATCCGATATTGTGGAATTGTCATAATGCTTGTTCACGATTACTCACGGGCCCAGACGCAGGCTCGATCGCAAATTATTAAGCATATACCATATTATGCAAGTGTTTACGTACAAAAAGAACTGGCAGAAATTGACGTTCTATAGTATATTCATGTCGCACTACGGCGGAGAGAGCGATTCCTTCGCGACGCCAGGTGAGTTCAAATATTTTAAACTTATCATTCAATACAGAAGAGTTTACAGTACTCTTGCCAGAACTACAAGTCCAAGATGGCCAAAGCAAACACAAAAATCATAAATGGATATGCTTTTTTTTATAAGAGAGCATCTTCCATATTAAGACAATACTTCTCAGTCGCGCAAACGTAATTGTAGTCGATGTGAGCACGAGCTCATCTAGATTATCTCGCCTTCAGACACAGCCAGCCAGAATATTATCCATGACTACATAGCCTTTTAAGTTGTTGTTTTCATTTACAACTAGGTTTCCGCCAGCGACTTCGCCCGCGTGGACCTTAAGGAACTGTCTATTGCGATGAAAAGTAGTCTAAAATTTAATAATTAATTTGGATAAGGTTTCTTATCATGACTCGGATATAATTACAATGAAAAATTTAATAGTAAATAATGGTTACTATGGTACCGTTTTAATTCTCTATAGAAACTTTCACGCCCATCTTTGTCATTTTTCGGGATAATATATAGCCTATGTTCGCCACATACCATGACACTTCCCGTAGATTAAAGAATTTATAAAATCGGTCCAGTATTTTCAGATCCTATTCGTTGCAAACAAACAATCAAATTTTTCCTCTTTGTAATATTAGTATGGATGTAATAGTCATTACCTAATGTAGGTTCATTGCTACAATTATGAAACTATATTGTCTTGCAACTTCCACACCCAGTCAGTATCTGCAAGACCGGCTGTGCACAGTCGGTACACAAAGTCACATGTTGCCGTTTGTACATGCGATGATCTACGGGCAGTGCACAGCAGAGCGACTGCCTAAATCTCTAGACTTGATTCTACCTATAGCTATAAAAACGGTTTATTATTTTGATCGATTAATCTGTTGGTATTCTTTTAAAATTAAATGTTTTTTGTTATTTATATATTTATTCAAACATTTTGATTTCTTTTAGTTTTCGAAACATCTATGTTTGTTTAAACTTGACATTTTGTAAATTTAGTCCAAGTTTAATAATTCAGTAAAGTAAAACAACCAAAAGCATTGATTAATTATGTAAATAATAAAACAAGATTTTACAACAAAATAAGAATGATGCCTGGGTAAAAAAAAAACGAAATTCTATTTAGTCCGTCAGTATAGAAAAATATTAGATACGTATTTTTGCTTGAATTTAAACAAGAAATGGCTTAGATAATAGGAATTAAAGTCAAGGAGTGGGGGCTCGCTACGTTACAGTTACGTAGAAAGTGTTCAAAAGCATGACGTCATGTAACATTTTAACTCAAATGTATCGCAGTAATTTATTGATTACGCAAATAAAAAGTATTTAATATTCTTCAATAATGTACCTGACGGACAAACAAACAAAAAATAGACGTCATCCCTATTCGTTAATAGAATCAATAGAACGTTCTTATATCTATGGCTAGAGTTTTAAACGAGATTGTTAGGTGGTCGCGCCAAAGGTCTTGCAGATACTGACTGTGGAAGTCGCCAGATGTCATAGTTACACAGTAATATTTGTTTTCTCTATCCAATACACAGCATTAAAAGTGATGTGCGCCTGCTTCACGAGTGAGTTATGTTCCGAGTGGGGTCGCATAGCGAGGGCTATGCGTGATCTGGGCCGTCGTAATGAAGCCGCCCATCACTTGTGGGACTTCCTAGAACACTGTGTCACGTATAGGACTCCGCTCTATATATTACTGCAGCCATTCATTGTGCACAAGGTGAGTATAGTTTAATGTATTAATGCTATCATTCTGAATAGTTATCTTTCCTTTATATTTTTACACGACTGTCCAAAAAAAGGAGTGTATTATTATGTTTAGGGTTCGTGTATGTATGTGAATTTGTTTACTCCACCTTTTTAATTCTCTTTACACTCGGGGGACCTGTTAGATTACAAATGTTTAACAGAACGATCCCTCGACTACAATGCCAATTTTGTTTAGACTTGTTTCGTTTATTTTTAGTTCGATTTTATTAATTTTATTTTTTGTATTCAGAACTTGCCATTAACTTGCAATTAAGAGAAAACAGTCTTTTCACTCCGCTACTAACCAACTTTTCTCAGTACTCTTCCATGGCATACTTGCAAATATTTTTGGTTGCATAATTGTTTGTTTAAATATTTAATTTTGACACAAACCATTTTATTATCTACATAACTCCTCCTCTAGGATCTCCGAGGTTCTGAGAAAAACAATATTTTGTAACTGTCTGAGATTTTGTCGTTGTGATATCAATACCAGGGCTTAGCTACTTTAATTAGAGTTGAGAGACTTTTAATTGTCGATAACTTCAGAAGACACGTTAAACCGCTGATCCCGGCTGCATCTACAATTGTAAATACCCACCAATCCGCACTGAGACATCGTGCTGGGTCATGGCCTATTCTCCCTATTGCGTTCGATTCCATCCATAGGGAAAGACTGAGCCCCACAGAGGGGACATTAATAAATTGGTGATGATGAATATTATTTATACAGTTATCACAACCACCCATTGGTGACAATGAGCGACACATGCAATTCGTAGTAAGAGAACGTGTACGCGGACTAAAGTTACCAGCGGCGCGAGCTCGCGGTGCCCTTCTAGCAGAATTAGCACGCGAACTTCGTACAATGAGAGATACTCATGACCAGTATAAATTCGGTAAGTACAGTCTGTCTTACAATATGGAATACTTTCCATCTAGGTTAGGTGTAGGTGAAATAGTATTCCTTCTTCCTTCGTGACACTGGCGCAGGTCTCATCGCGCGCACCCACGAACTCTTCATTGGTTGCAAACAGACACCCTTTCAGCTGGTTATTTATTAGTGGGATGAAAGCAAAGTCGCTCGGCGCAAGGTCTGGGCTCTAGGGAGGGTGATCCAACACTGTGATCCCCGATCGCTCCAAAAATTTTCGCGTAATGGGTGCTCGATGGGTAGGAGCATTGTCATATTGAAAGTGCCAGCTAACAAAACGTAATTTTGGATGCATTTTCGTCAGCTCGCCGATGACTTGAGGCAAACTAACCACAGTGTACCAGGTAGGGTTTACAGTCTTCTGTGTGTCTAATACGATGCCTCTGTCTCCAAAGAAACCGAGTCTCGTCTCCAGTCACGATTGAATTAACATCTTTAGACCGGCCAGAGTCGTACTTTTTTTTTGCACCAGTCTACACATGCCTTACATTGGTTGTCGTTAAAAGCGTCAGGGACCCAGATACAATATAGCTTCCTTACTCTTAATTTATCGTTCAAAATGTAATGCAACATCGATGCACTAATCTGTAGAACCTCCTCAATTTATCTGCACTTTAGTTGCCTGTTAGAACTTATTAGTTGTACAGCAGCCGAAGAAACAGTTCTTAGGTCCTAGTTGAAACGGGTCGACTTGGTTTATTGTCATCGTCTAAATTAAAATCACCTCTCTGAAAGTCTTCACCAAAGATACCAGACGTTTCCTCGTGGCACTCGTGATAAGATAATCCACGTTTGAAATTATAATACAAAATCACTCTGAAGTCTCGGTGAACAAGACCGGCCATTTTTACCATTATTTTTTTTTTTGTTAATTCTATCTCAGAGCACTGATAGCAGCCATACCAACTGTGCATAAATAAAATTATAATTAGTGACAGGTAACCATATGCTAAATGAAACCTGTCGAAACCCGTTAGATCCTTTCTATTGCAAGACTTATAGAACAGCCTGTGTATGAAGTCGACGTAATCTGCTTCTGCTCTGCAGCATGCTTGCTCTCAAATGCAATCGCGATCTTATCAAGTATGCAGATCATGGAAAACTGACAAAAGCTTTAGAAATTTCTCTATACAATTATAAACCATTAGTGCTGAAATTGAAATTTTTAATTGAATGCAGTAGTTTTAGCTGATTACCGCTTGTGCTTAACCTTTACAGTTCTTAAAAATACTATTTAGCGAAAACTGCTAGTGACTTTTCTCATCATATTGTGATCAATGAATTTTTAAATGAAAATATCATAGCTCCATTATAAAAACAGAACAAATAGCCGAAAATCTCGGCCAAGGCGGTGGTAAACGTGCATCAGAAGTGTTTCCGCGCACGACAGCTGCGCCCGAGAAACATCAGCAACATCGGCCGTCGCTCATATCGATGCTAGTGGGACGAGCCGGGGCTTTGCCCAGAACACCTGACCATCCATCTGCACCATTATCAGCACAAAGAGGTGACGTTATAACCAGAGATTTATTTAAATAAGAGCCAAGATTGCTTCTTCACATATGTTATCTTAGTATGAACAAGCCTGCTATTATCTGATTTGAACATAAATTGATAGTATATAGAAATTAAGAAATCGTTTTAATCCCTTTTTAGTATTAAAGAAACTCTCAACTATTCGACTCGTCTCTGCTGAAGTTTATCAAAATTAAACAAATTTGTAAAATCACACACACATACAAAATAAAACAAATAACAAAATAAGAAACAAGACGCAGTTATAGCGATTAACTTAAAAAAAACTGTCATATCAGTAATAACTCAGCGGTTATCTAAAACATCAAAGTTATTTATAGTTTTCAGAAATCACAGTGTATGAAACGACTTGCTTTTCATTCATCATTCATTTAAATAATTAAACTCTTGCAACAGAATCGGTATCAAGTGGATCCACGACGAGTCAGCACATGCAAGCGTTCGACGTGACCGGTAGTGGACGACTCAGCGACAACAGCAATAACCACGGCAGTAACACTTCGCATATGGGTAAGTGCATAGATAAATAGTTATCAGGCAGTAACACTTCGCATATGGGTAAGTGCATAGATAAATAGTTATCAGGCAGTAACACTTCGCATATGGGTAAGTGCAAAGATAAAGTAATCATTGATGCGACACACTATAGAAACCATTTGTTTGCCCTCACACTAATTTCTTCCGTTTTTATTATTTCCTACAAATAAACCATAAAGTTACGTTTCTTATTTATACCCTGATTCATATTTCTATTTATTTTTAACAAAAGTAAACAATATTTTATCTACCGCCCACCGCTTCTACGAAAACTGATATCACAGATTTCTCCAATTCAAACGCCATCACTTTATACTAGTAGGTCTGAGGATAAAGAATTTCACAAACTTGTTTTGACGTCATGCAGGCTAAAGAAGGTTCTATCGTCATTTATGGGTCAAGGTGTACACTACTATAACAAAATTCCTATGGAAATTTTAAATTTACCATTACCTAAGTTTAAATCCCATATTAAGAATTGTCTACTCAGTAAATGATATTATACTGTTAATGAATATATGCTCGAATCACACATATCAAACGTTGTAATATTATAGCATAGATAAATGGTATAGTCTGTTTCCGGTGTACTGTATCCTGTGTGTGCAGGTCTGTGATTGTAATTGTATCTGTGAGCATCATAGGAGAGTAGAAAATTAAACAAATTAAAAACATTAAAGACTTTAATTATAAAACATGGCGCAGTCGTAACAAAAAGTATTTCTGTATAAAGTTTAAAATAGAAGGCAAAGATAGTCTACATCATGGAAGGTCAAGTAAAATTGCCACCCAACTTTGATATACGTTCCGGCAATGCGGCGTCGGAATGGAAAGTCTGGAAAACCTCTTTCGAAGACTACTTATTGTGCACAGGTAAAGATAGTGCCACTGATAAAATCAAGTTGTCTCTATTAAGAAACATGATTGGTATAGAATCTATACGAGTTTTGGCTACTTTACCGATCGAGAAAGCCGATGACTATGCAAGCGTAATGGCGGAAATAGAAAAATATGTATGTCCCAGAATAAACGAAGTTTTTGAAAGGTACAAATTCAATAGTAGATGTCAAAGAGAAAATGAACCGTTTGAGTTATTTCTAACGGATCTCAAATCATTAATACAAACTTGTAATTATAATATCAAAAACGAAAGCATTGAAGATCAGCTAATCAGGGACCGCATTGTGCATGGTGTTTTTGACAAGAATCTTCAAGAAGGACTATTAAGGTTAGAAAATTTAACACTACAAAAGGCAGCTGACTATTGTAGAACAAGTGAGCAGAGTAAAGCACAATTGAAAGTAATGAATCAGGAACTAGAAATCTCCAGTGTCAAAAAACATAAAGTAAAAAAAGAATTATCACGGGACAGTGAAAAATTTAACTGTCGTAGATGTAAAACGGTACATGGTCATCGTGCATGCCCAGCATATGGCAAACGATGTTCCAAATGTGGCATTATGAATCATTTTGCTGTTGCCTGCATAGTCAATGACAGGAAGCCTAAGATTAGAAATGTGCAGAGTCAAGAGGATGCAGAGAATGATGATACAGAATCAGAAATAATGTATTGCGGAAGAGTGAAAGAAATTAAAGGTAAGCTGTGGACGGAAGAGATAGAGATTGAGTCTAAAAAAATCACTTGTAGATTAGATACAGGAGCAGATGTGAGTGTAATGTCACTTAATGTTTTTAAAAGTTTAAATTCATCTTTGGAAATACAACCTGTACGTTTAGAGCTGGAATCATTTCAGGGTAATCGAGTGAGGCCACTTGGTATGGTAAATTTAAATTGCAAGTATGGCAATAATGAATGTTATGAGAATTTCATGATTATAAATAATGATTGTACTTTGCTTGGGTTACCCGGGTGTCTAAAATTAAATCTTGTCAAAAGAGTAAATTCTGTAACATGTGAGTCTTCAGTAGAGAAAGCAGAGTTTGTATGTAAAAACATTGACATATTTAATGGTCATGGTCACTTCCCTAAGCAATGTAGTATTCCTACGAAGGATCATGATCCAATTTGTCATCCACCATCAAAAATACCTTTGACCATGATGGAACCGTTGAAACAAGAATTAGATAGGTTAGTTAAAAGAGGTGCCATAGAGAAAGTTGATGAAATTGATTCTACTGCCTGTATAAACAGATTAGTGATTGTAGAAAAACCAAACAAAAAAATGAGGCTCTGTTTAGATCCAACAGATCTTAATCAGTACATAATACGAAAACCCAAAGTTTTGCTAACAGTTGAAGAAATAGCATGTAAGTTAGAAGGAAAAAATTTTTTTACTGTTTTTGATTTATCTGAAGGGTTCCATCATGTGCCACTCACTAAACAAGCATCGTGGAAATGTTGTTTTGCAACCCCGTATGGTGTATTTAAATATTTAGTTTTACCATATGGTTTATCAAATGCTCCTGATGTTTTTCAGGATCATATTGAATCTTACTTTGGCCAAATACCTAATGTAATATGTTGGTTCGATGATGTGCTTGCAATGGGGTCTACAGAGAAGGAACATGATGAAGCTGTGCAAAGTGTAGTAAGAAAAGCAAGAGAAATAAAAGCTGTATTCAATAAAGACAAACTGCAGTATAAAAAAAAGGAAGTTAAGTATGTTGGACAAATTTTTAATGGTCAAGGTATGAAAATTGATAAATCTAGAGTAGAGTCTTTAATAAAGTTATAGCCACCTAAAAGCAAAGAGGAATTACAAAGAATAATAGGTTCATTTAATTATGTTAGGAGATATGTTCCCGACATGGCAGAATTAATGTCTCCTCTCTGTAAACTCCTGTGTAAAGATGTGGAATTTCAATGGTTGCCTTATCATGAAAATGCCTTAAATTCAATTAAAAATAAGGTATCAGAAACACCTGCTTTGACAGCATTTAATCCTAAAAAAAAAAATAATTTTACAGTGTGATGCCTCAAAAAATGGAATAGGAGCATGTATGTTTCAAAATGATTGTAATAATGTGCTAAGATTAGTAGCTTGTTTTTCTAGAACTATGAACAATTCAGAAATTAATTATAGCCAGACTGAAAAATAACTTTTAGCCATATACTTTGCAACTCAAAAATTTCACAAGTATATTTATGGGTCTCATAGTGTGACAGTACAAACAGACCATAAACCTCTATTGCCATTAATGAAGAAACCGATTAGTAAAATTGGTTCCCCTAGATTAAGACGGCTTAAAATTAAATTGTTAAATTATCAAATTATGCTTGTATATGTCCCAGGTAAAAAAATTCATTTTGCTGATATGCTGTCTAGGAATAGTATATGCAGTTCAGACAATGATTTTGAAATGTTAGAGATGGTACATTCTGTTACCAAGCATCTACCTATGTCTCCAGAGAGAAAGTCAGAATTTCGTGAAAAAACTAGTAATGACAGTATATTAGCAAAAATATCTCAATATTATTATTATGGCTGGCCTGAATTTAATAAATTAGTTCCTGAGTGCAAACCATTTTATAAGTTTAGGAATGACATTTATGTTGAATCTGGACTAATTTTCTTAAACAACAAAATCATTGTTCCACAGTTGCTACAGTCATATGTATTACAAATTGTACATCAAGGACATCCAGGCATAAGCAAATGTATTAACAAAGCCCGCCAATTATTTTATTGGCCTAAAATGTCAAAAGATATTGAGCAATTTATCATGAAATGTAGGACATGTGAAAAATTTAGACCACAAAATTTTCATGAACCACTTTTACCTCACTCTATACCTAAGCATAGATTTCATAAAGTAGGCACTGATATCATGGAAATTGCCGGTAAACCTTATTTGGTGATCATAGATTACCTATCACATTGGCTTGAAATTATTCCTTTATCAAGTAAAACGTCTCAGTCAGTAATAAATGCTATGCAAGAAGTGTTCACAAGGTTTGGCTACCCTAGTGTAATGGTTGCTGATAATAATCCATTTTTGTCATTTGAATGTCAAGAGTATTACAAGTCTAAAGATATTCAAATTGTTACTTGTAGTCCACATTACCATAGAAGTAATGGTTTAGCTGAAAAAGCTGTTAATATTGCAAAAAATTTAATCTGTAAAGCCAATTTTGACAATGTTGATTTTCGTGAGTCTCTATTGCACTATAATAATACTCCCCTTTCTGGCTTACATATTTCTCCAGCACAAATTTTACACAGTAGACGCTTAAGAACTAATATACCAACAACACTCGAAGCTCTTGAACCTAAAATAGAAAGTAATGTACACCAGCTACTAAATTTAAAAAAGAGTATGACTAAGGAAATTCATGATAGAAAAGTTAGGAGAAAAGTAATGGAATTTGAGGATGGTGAGGAAATAGTGTATAGAACAGGAAATGACAGATATTGGGAAAAGGGAAAAATAATAAAAAAATGCAGTGAGCCCAGATCATATATGGTAGTAAATGACAGATATTCCAGGCCTTTCAGGCGTAATACTAAACATTTAAAAAAGTCTGTTACTAATGTTCCAACAATAAAACAATCTCATGAATTTTGTGATAGTGATGTTGATATAGAAAATAAAAATTGTATATCTTTGTCTAAGGAAAACATACTTGAACCTACTTGCAGCAATACTATTGTTAATGTAGAAAATACTAATTATAGAAATAACTCTAATATAAATGTTAGCAAACCTAGTTACTGCACCCGCTCAGGCAGAACTGTAAAACCCAGAAATATGTTGAATTTGTAAGGCTGTCTGATTTGTATCTTGATCTTATATATGTGTACATTGTTATCTTTGTTTTGTTAACTATCTTAAGTGTTGTGTTATTTGATCTTGCACATTATGTAATACAAAAACTAAAAGGGAAGGTGTTGTAATATTATAGCATAGATAAATGGTATAGTCTGTTTCCGGTGTACTGTATCCTGTGTGTGCAGGTCTGTGATTGTAATTGCGATACATTGCATGTGTAAGTCGTATATGTTCTCGTTGTACCTTAGTAAACCAATTTTAATTTTCTGTAGGTTCCAATAATTGCGGCAGCGATACTAAACCTGCGGCAAGTACCCCATCCTTTGGAAGTACACAAACTAAGCTGCGCTTCGTTCCATCTGTGGAGTTTAAGTTGACGTCAGGTAATTTAAACGGTGTTTCAATATTCACATTAATATCTACTTACTCAATTCTGTCATTCATTTTCAATGCAATTTCTATTTAAGTTTGAATATAACTAATCTTTGGTAACCAACAAAATAGGGAAAACATAGAAATTCTATTTAGTCCGTCACTTAAATAATAGAAAAATATTAGATACAAACTTTTTTTTATTCAATTTAAGAAAAAATGGCTTGAATAATGGGCATTAAAGATGAGGAGTGGGGGCTCGCGATGTCAGCCTTACGTAGAAAATCTACAAAGGTGTGACGTCATGCGACATTCAACTCAATGTATCGCCGTAATTTATTGATTATGCAAAAAATAAAAAAAGACGTGTTTTGAAGGACATTTCTTCAATTATCTACCTGACAGACAGACAAACAAACAAAGAAATAGTCATCATGCCTGTTATACATTTTTTGCAATACTTCAACTTATATTACCATAGACTAGAAGTGCGAAAACTGCTCCGTGGTATATATGCGGTTATTGGCCTCTTTATCCCACCGCTGGGGCATAATCTTTCATATTGATAGAATTCACCCAATAATTTCAAAGTACAGTTCAAAGCATGAAGAACCTCGAGGCAAAAAATTTTTGGTCACATCCGAAGACCGGCCCTTTTTAATATCACTATGCCATTGAATGCTTCTCGTATCAGACGGAACAAATTAAAAATTTCATTTCACGTTAATGCTATTGATCATAATAAACAGCCCTTTTATTCCCCACTGCTCTAGCCTTCTTTATGGAAGGTTAAGGATGGGCCATGATCCTCCACACTGGCCCAATGCGAATTGGAAGTTATTAACTGCAGCCGGGACCAACGATTAACGTGCCTTCTGAAGTACTGTGGGACTCGAAACAATAATTTTTTGGTCACCCATCCCCTGACCGACCCTTGCGAAAATTGCTTAACAAAAACGATCGCGGGCCGCGGTACTTATCCACTACGCCACCGAACTAAATGCTATTGTGTTTCTAAATAATCTTAATAAAAGCAGGTGAAACGTCAATGTCACCTCTGTCACCTCTATCGCCGCGTGACGTCAGAGACTGCTGCGAGGGCGAAGCCGCCGCCCTCGTAGGTGACGCGGAGCCCGACAGTACAGATAACAATGAAAGACCACGGCTTCAACGAGCCCACGGACCCTCCAAGAAAACCTTCAAATTTCGAAGAAGCAGGAACACTAAGCCTGACGTGAGAACTTTTATTTCAAACTACATATCATTAAGTACACCATCGCCATCGTATTGGTTTTTTGAAATGAATTATTGGTACTTACATTCTTCAATCTATAACTTTATGATGAAATACTATCTATGTACGCACAACCAAATATAAAAAAAAAACAGTTTAACTAACTGAAGAATTTTTAAAATCGGTCCAGAATTTCGGATTCTAAACAAATAATTGCTTGACATAAAGATTTGATGTTTGTTTACATCGAATAGGCTCCAAAATTACTGGACCTATTTTGAAAATACTCTCACCTACGGAAAGCATATCATATGTGACATAGGATGTAACAGGGGATCGGACAACAATTAGATAAAAAATGAAATTGTAATTCATCATTTGTGGCTAAATTGGTAGTAATAGTAGGGGAGCCGAAGCGGGGATTTCGGGATTTACTAAAGCGCGGCAGATTAATGTACAGGGGGATACCTTGTACCCAGTTAAGTACCTGGACCAAGTATGAGCCCTATAAAAATGGCCGCCCGGCAAGGACGAAGGATCAGATTAGTAAAAAAAAAATGATCATCTGAAAATCTCGAGCGCGTCAGATTAAGGTAAGGTAGTAAGCTAGTTACATAGTTACATGCTAAAAGGAGTACATACCTCTAATCTGACAATTTGAGAGTGACGTAAAGAAGGGGGAAGGCTACAAAGTGGTAAAAAAAAACGTCACTTTGACATTCTCGAGCGTGGCTAATTTTTTTTTATTTTGAAGGGAATCATTCAAGGATTACGAAAAATATATAATTTGACGATTGTCACAAGCCGAAGTAATAAAAATTCATCGATAAGATTCAATGCGTTTAAGCTACTTGATACCTATATTTCCTTCTCCGCATCACTATTTCTCTCTCTTTTTCTGTCTATTACTCTCTCATTCCATCCCCACTCTGGTTTCGGTTGCCATGACGCCATGACAACTGATGACACAGACTCGTTCGTGGCGTGATATTGTTTACATCGTATTTCCAACGTTTTTGCTTATTTTGTTATTTTAATGTAAATTTTGTGAATTAAACTTTTTACATATTTATTAAAAGAAGAAGAGGAAGATGATTCTAGCAATGAAGATGATAATTAATAAAAAATACTGTAAAAATTAAATTTTCATATAATCATTTTCTTATAAATATAAGTATTTTACATAAAAAAACATACACTTTTTTATTTGCATGCTAACTCCGGTGCTTTTCTATTTAATTAAGCTCAATGATTTGAAAAAATTAAAAAAAAAATTTTTTTAGTGTCAGTTTAAGTAAATCTCTTCAGATAATCGTCAGATTATGAGATATCACGTCTGGGGCATAAAGATGAACCATATATATCTTAATCTGACGCGCTTGAGTATTTCAAAATGGCGATTTTTTTTTTGCACATTCTTATAATGGTCACGCGTTTGCGGCACATCCAAATCGTCAGATTATTATACGAGAGCTTTTTTTTAGGTTCACTTGACATCCCCTCAAAAAATCTGACGCGCTCGATTAAATAATTTTTTTTTTCATTTTCAACCCTTACGTATAACCGACCCCATCATGGAAACGATCAGATTAACATACGACAGTTTTTAAAAATGCGTAGGACATGGATGATATTAGTATCTGACGCGCTAGAGTATGTCCATACAACAGCTTTTTTTACATTTTTGTAAATCTATAGCCGCTTCCCCCACCGATGAAAAGGTATATATTATATGAAATTTTTTTTTGTTGTCATCTAAGCTTCGTAACCCAATAGGTCTCTATGACGCTCGATTAAATCCCGATTTAGCATCGTGGGCTCCCCTACTATAAAATACTACGTAGGAAAAGCGCGGGAAACATTCAAGTCTTAATGATTTGATTTTTAACAGGTTACAAGGCTGTTTACTTTTTATGTACCCTTTTGTTTACCCCACAGATGACGTCACGTTCTCCGAGTCGCCCTTTACACGGTTTTTTCAACAATTAAATTTTAAACATTGTTTTGGGTACATAATGATGTTTATTTAACTAAAAAATATTATTTTATGTGGAAATAAGTGGCCATAATGATTAATTTAAATAAAACAGATTTCAGAAAGTTGTACGATCTCCTATTGCGCAGGAAAACAGTTTGTATATGTATATGTTTTTTTAATCCGCTAGGTGTCGCACGTACGTCTTGAATCAGACGAGTGCTCATCGCCCGGCGCGGACAGCACTCCTCTGAGACGTCCGTGGCCACAAACACCCCTCCTCTTGCCTAGCAACATCCACACTGACACGTCATACGACAGCGAAATATCGCAGACCTCCTCCACATCTGGATACAGGCTAGCATTACTGCATCAGTAAATAGGATTACTCGCATTATGGCGTCCGAGCATGATCCGTTTTAATAGCGTCCGTTGGATTCGAACCTCCTTTTTGAAATTTGAAAAACTAATGTTAATTAATTTAAGTTTACCCGAACGTACTCGTTTTTCGTGTTCGATTTTTCTGCAAAGCGTTTCCGTAAAAATATGAACCAGGTGTTAGAATTCATTTCGGAAGTAACACCCGCTTAACGTTGAATTGGTATTAACGTTTCGTTGCATAAGTGAAGTGAGTTTCGAAATGATATAGGGATACTATGAATCAATCAATAGAATTTCACTGATATAAGTTTTCGTGAATTCGGACACCTGAATCAATTTGAATTCGGGTTCGGATTTTTACGGAATCGCTCTGCGATCAGAAATTTCATTTCGGAGACCCGAGCGCGCGCCTTTAATGCTAATTAATATGTGCGAGAAGGCTAATTGCTTATGAAATTGACTAAACTCCGGTTTTGGTCCAGATATTAGTCTGCCAGAATAAACCGTGAATATGATATTTTTTATCGTTTATTTGTGACTATATGTGCAATATTGTACAAAAAAAAAGTGTTCAAAATCAGAATCTTACTATCAGCAGGTATATAAGATTAAATACCGCTAAAAAATCTGAAAACATATTCGTGTTTTAGTCCTGCATGACCGTGTGTGTGTGTGGTTTGTGTTTATGTCGTCGTGTTAATTTAATTACCGCTTTATATATAATTCGTTTAAATTAATATGCATATTTTAAGGATACAAACCAAATTATAAATATTGCCACAGTCGGGTAGACATTTAGGTTCATGTCGCGACACAGATAATACTTTGAATATAAAATATTTCTTTTTCCCAGGTCCCTGGTATGAAAAATGCCCAAAAAATCCACTTTGTCCCTGGCACTTTCAGATGAGACTCGAACCCACGCATTTTTTGTCATTTTTCATGAACAATATTTCTCAGTATAACATTGTGAATCAAATATCATAATTAGAACAAATTTTCATCTTTATCGAAACTAAACATTTCATTCAGCTGTTTGGGTAGATTACCTGAACATTGATGCAAACACACTCTGTATTAGCGAAAAAGTGACAAGTGCTCGATGGATTCGTCGGTCCTGTTAGATCCTGGGTAGCTCATTGGTTAGAGCAGTCGCCCGAATTGTGACGTCCCATCTCAGATTGCCAGGGACAAAATTGATTTTTCGGGCATTATCTACACCCCGATTGAGTTGATACTATAACAGTGGTAATATCACTGTAACTATTATGTTATCGGTATATAGGGAAAGCTACAGTCTCCAGGCGTCGATGACAGAATCGCCCGGTGGTTCGTTACGCGCCGCGCTCGCGTCACCCGACGGCGGCGACCAGAGCGCAACGCCGCGCGCCAGCCCCGACGGTAATCACGCGTTCGTATGTACCGCACGCTTATACACACCACTCGCTCATTTATCTATTAAACCTTACCTTCTTTCACTTGACCTACTTCTTCTGTTTTTAATTCATAACCTATTTGCGTTTACACAATCCCGCTAATGTCATATTCGTGGCTTTTACACGTAAAGAAACTGTAACAAAGATATGATAATAAAAAAATAATACACATATATGTTAAAACCTAACTGTAATCTAATGCAGTAAGTTGAAATATGTATGCTGTTGGTTGTCCATATGAAATTAATACATAAATAAAAATAATTTTGAATTTAGACGTGATAGGTAGAACAAAAAAAAGACTAAGCACGTTTATCTGATTATATTTTTAAAGGTAATTAAAGAGAATTGAAATCTAAAACAAAGATTTTTCCTCAATGGAGTGAAACGTCAGCGACATTTGTTATGACTGTCAATAGACAACTGCAGCGCAGGGGTGCAGCCCATCAACAGAGTTTGCGATCGAAATCTTTACAAATTCGGTCTCTATCCCATAGCAATCGCTAGGAAACTAACATATATCACTAATTTGACAGTTTCACTTAGACACATGCACAGGTAGAGATTGCAATAGTCGTTAAATTACGGTCGATCTAATTCGGTACAATTGTAATCGCAAACGCTGTCGAGACTGGTTTATTATATATTTCTTTTTACTGTAGAGAAAATGTCTAGTAAACAAAACTACAGCTGTCTCTTTTCAGCCAAAACAAATTAAATCGTGACTTCACCTAAAGTGAAGAAATATTGGTCTATTTCTATTTTAATAAGCTTTTCCTGCTTTGATATCTTTTTTTTTTCTGCTTAAATTTCTACCATAAACAACTTCAATTCAGTTTTTCTTCTTTGAATCCTTTTCTGTTCTCTATTATTGATAAATTAATGATTAATTGAATTGAAATTCTATTATTACGAAAATGTACATTACAACAATGATGTACATGTTAATGGACCAGGTGATGAATACAGACATTATTAATAATGTGCGAGCATTTATGAATAATGCCCAGTGCTATCGGGCTAAGTGATTAATTTTTATCTAAACTTCATAGTGAGGTACCCAAATATTCTACTTTTTGTGTACCCAGCTTTTTCAAATGCGCCAAAACTTTTGTGGTCAATCCCCAGTTCTTCAGCTACGTCGTAACTACTAATATGCCGATCTTGCTCCACTTTTTCATAAATGACAAAAAAAATCTCCGTAACAGGGCGATCGGAGCGACGTGCATCTTTGACATCAAAACGTCTGCTTAATCCAAATTTGTGCTACTCACACAGAACCTGACGCTTAATCTACGATCTTCGAAAATATGATAATTATCGCAATGAACTTAAATGGCTGACAATTCACCAACGTCGGGATTTGAGAATCCTTTCTGCTCTAAAATTAATGATCCATGTGCTCCCAGATATCTAATACGTAAGTTTCAGTATTTTGGTGCCTCTCACAATCGAAATTTTCGCTCAGACAGCAAATTATCTCTTCTCTCTCCACCGAACTAGTTTTATTTCATACTCATTTATTTTTCAGGCTATGAAATGCGCTCCCTTCCAATGTACAAAAGCACCAAATAAAATCTCCTTCAAACTATTACTTCGTGAATATCTATTAAATAAATTCATCATCCTTATCTGGTAAATCCATAATTTAGTTAGATAGGTATATTTATATAATTATCTATGTACATATTTATTTAAATATGTATTTGTTTATGTATATTAGTTTATGTTTAGGATATTATAATAAGGTAAGACTAATTGTCTAATACAGCTGATCTTTTCGCGCCGCCTCATATATTATCCGTATACAACTCTCCGGTTGACTGGTAGAGAATGCCTGATGGCATTAAGACCGCCATTTGTACTGTGTGCAAAAAGTTTAACTATATAAAACTACACTGGGTACATAAATATCACATTTTTTTGCGGCTTCTGTTACATTTTTACCTTTTTTATGTAATAATTTTTTAATGTATCGAATTTCATTAGATTCACTAATTTTGCCAGTAAAAAAATGTAAATCACACATTTTTCTCACACACTTTGAACTCAGAGTTATCTTCTTTAAAATTTAAACTTTTTAATGATACCGAAACCAGCCAAATACAAATGGTACAGCCAGAAAGATTATATTACAAGTTATAAATAAATAATGACAATAAAAATTTATAATTACTAATTAAATGTGTTTGTTTTACTCTGCCCAAAAGGTAGTGGACATTATGTATAATCACCAGAGGTCGGAATTAGGTAGAGTTATTTATGTACTTGCATCGAAATGTTGATATTAATGTGGACCTTCCCGGGATTTCTAATGGACAATTTCTAATTCTTTGGACATCGGATGTCATTGATGTAAGTTTGGCAACGTCGTGCGTGCAGTAGTTTAAATTGTGTAAAAGTAGGGGAGACCTAGGTGAGTTGTGACAGAGGTGAGTTGTGACAAGGAGGATTTCTCTCTACTTATTATAGTAAGCGAGATGGCATTAACGTTTGTTTGTCGTCCTCGACACGCGCTACACGACTCAGTACCTGTCGACGGTGCATGTGGCACAATTGCGTAAATATATCGTCAGTGTGCAAAAAATTACGAAAAGTAAGTTTTTCTTCAAAATATTATTTGATTATATATCATATCTTAGTATATGTGCATTGATGTGTTATTTTTTCTTAAGTTATGTAGTTATTTAAGTCTCAATACGTGGCACTGATTTTTTGTATGCGCATCGTGTTTAGAAAATATGAATTATTATTAGGACCAAGACGTCATTTTGAACACCTAGGAGAGTTGTGACAGCCTGTCACAACTCTCCTAACTTACTCCAAATTTCTGCTGGGCTATTTTTACATTTATTTTTTATTAACTTTAGATGTTTGTTGGTGTGTTAGTAGCTACTTAAGGTGTATAATGGCATATCGCATACTTATTTTTTTGAGAATACCAAATATCTATACACGAGAGACTGAAAATCTAAGAATGTTAAGAAGCGTGTCTTAAGCGAAGAAAAAAAAAGAAACCTAAAAAAGCAAAGAAGACTAAACAGAAGAATAGAACAAGTGATGAAGAAGATGTAGAAATAATTGCTTTTATTTGGTTTGCCTTGAAGCCTATGCAGACAGCAGATCGAATGATCAGTGGGTCCAAAGCCTGGAATGCAAAGGCTAGGCACAGTTAGATTGTACTGGAGACGAACTTTACTACGTTTGGCATAAATGTGAAACTGATTAGATTAAGATTTTATACTGATGAGAATATTCTCATAACAAGTAATTATAATATTTTCATTAACTAAATATTGTATCGCTTTGAGATCAATCATATTATTGTAGTATTAATATTAATACTATGTTGTTTTAGTTGGTAGGTATTAAAAGATGATTAATCAAATCAAATCAATCTTTATTGTTGATCGCAGGTTATATAAAGATATTGGATGCAAGGACTGAATAGTTACACCGTGATCTGCCTAAAAAGCATACAATATTTGTTTGTTAGTAATTGTCAACTAATCTAATCAATAACATGTTATGTCAAAAATTCAACTAATTCATTAAGTATTTAAACATTTACAAAGTACTGTCAGCTAGATACTCGTTTACACTATAATATGTTTTAGCTACTAATAATTTACAAAGTCTTCTTTTAAAAACATTACAATTATCCAGATTACGTATTGTTTTTGGAATTTTATCAAAAATTTTTGGAGCCATACAAAAGATACTCTTATTCAACTGAGCTGTCTTAGAGGGTATCGTACACAATTTGTCTCGATGACGCAATCTCGTCTTATTTTCAAATAGTTATTGATCTTGTTTGACAAAAATACCAACTTCGAATATATAGATTGATGGCAGGGTCATAATATTTAATTTAATAAAATATGCTCCTAACACGATTTAGTCGAATATCCCCAAAATATAATGCCGTATCGAACAGTAGAAACTACGTACGCGTGATAAGCTGTGAGGATCGTGCACTGATTCGCGATCCTACTAAGTTTGTACAGTGCACAAGAATACTGGGAGAACTTTTTGCAAACATGTTCAGTGTGTGTTTTCCAAGTCAAATTTATTATTATAGTACTGATTAAAGTACTGATTTGATAAAAAAACGTGCTTGATTTATTTATGTCGTATGTAATGGTATTTTTATATCTTATAGCTTAAATACAATGATGTCACAACTTACCTCGGTACCTGTCACAACTTACCTCGGTGGTAGGAGAGTTGTGACAAGGGGAGTGGACTTGAATTTTGTTATTTTTTTCAGAAACTATTATACTTTAATTAATTTTAGTGATGGTTTTGAAAACAGAAGGAATGGCGCTAAACTAATTCACATGAGTCATAACTGTGGAATGTTTCTTAAGCGAGATAGAGCCCCTTATGTAAAAATTGTCACAACTCTCCTAGGTCTCCCCTACATAACTTTTAATTTAAAAAATCCCGTGATTTTTTTTCTTTAAAATTAATCTCGGGATTTGAGGCAAATCCACTTTATTCTTTCGCTGTATGAAATCAGTGTAAGTACATGAATAACTCTACCTAATTCCGACCACTGATAATCACTTTGATTATTGGAATAATTATTATAAAATTGCTCTCGTATATTGGGCATTATTCATATTGATTTATTGAATTATGTATAATATGCAATTCATCATTTGGTCCATAACATAACACGGCTACACGACAGTTTACTACAATATGTCAATTCAATTGATTTTGAACTCTATCTTCAATGAAATAAGGTTTAAAATCAAATGAAAAGTTTCGTCAGTTCTGTATAGTCTGACTGTACATTGAAGTAAATTTAATTTAACATAAAAGCTTGATTCATTGCGCTGCATCAAAAATAGCCAAAAATGAAAATACAAGAACAGATATACAAACTTGCATAATTTAGTACGATAACTTGTTCCACAGCATCTCTAAGCTACGAATCGGGCACATCATCTGCAGAGAGAACTGCTCTTCTAGGTGCCGCCAGTCAACGTTCTCTTTTACTCAGCAGCGACTTAAGAGATGAAGACACTCTACTATGAATATTATACTATTATTTGGTCAGTAGTGTCCAATTCAAAAATCAAGGGAATACAAGGCCTGTAAACGTATGTTACATATTTATAGTAAATGTTAGAAATTGATATAATAGATGTTTTTATTCATAAAAATAGTTTTTCTTTTAAAGCTGTTGCCTCACCCATACGAAAAATAAGTTTAAATAACATTTAAAAAATAGTCACAAATACACGGACAGTTAAATTTTGACGTACGCGCCATCTTCAAGCTCTTCGAGTAAAAACACATTCAATCTAAACCTTTTAAGAAGCGCGTATGTCTAAAATCACTTTTTTTTTCCAAAAAAAAAAAACAACGTCTAAACAAGCTGTAGTTAAAAATATAAACTACATCATATTTCCAAAGATTCTTTTCAAGCCAAACTAGATTTTATAATGTTTTTTTTATTACTTGTTATAATTATACCTTTTTTCAGAGGACAAATCTTAGTTCTTAGTAAAATTATAATTTTGATCAGAATAATAAAAATAATAATCAGACATTGTTTAGATCTCCCTCATTAACATCGATAAATTTACTGTTTAGTTGTTATAGGCAATAAATTAAAAATAAGTGATTTACAAAAAAACCTTGCTATTTATTTTATCCTCAATGCCCCAATCATACAACAATAGTACTAGCCCAGCACCCTGACTAGTGATACAACTCTAGTCAGATTTTGTGACTAGTCACTTGGGACAATTGTCTCACACAAGTTTTCGATTGAGTTGAGTAAAAAAATTTCAAACTCAAGTGAGATGTGTATGTAATTTGAAAAGAATACATAATATGCATATCTATATATTCTTTTCTAATTACATATATGATATAAATAAAATTTGAAAGAGTTTTGACGTATTATTTATATAGAAAATAAAAAGAATAAGTGGCATAGATTAAGATAAGAGAGCAAAGTGACATCTAGTTGCAAGAGAATCAACTTGATGCACCGAATTGACTTGATAACTCAAGTGCATAGAGACTCGTGTTTTTTGAAGTTTTTTTTTCACTTGATTAACACAAGTAAAAACAGGACTTAAATCGCATAACTAACTCTGACTGAACACTCCAATAGATGACTAGGAATACCAAAAAGATCAAGAATTTTTATACTTTGCAAATAAAAAATGTCTAGGTTAAAGCAACATCACTGATGCAAAATTTAGATTCATTAGAGCTTATAGTCCTCATTGTCATTAAACCTTAATGGACGGTTTGGCAACTGGGTAATAGCTCATATTAACTAATTCTAAACATCCAGAAACATGTTCTAACATTTTAAATTATTAAAAGCCATCTAACTAAGGCAAGGTTTACAAAAACATGCATTTATAGTAAAAACATCATTTAATTATCTCTCATGCTTCTTTACATAACAAAAATGATTGTATGGCAATTTGAAGATCTGTGTCCAAAGGAATTTCATGAATATATTTTGAGAAAGTTATAACAATCTTATATATACTCCTTTTAACAGCTGATATGAGAGCTGTTTTAATTTTTATTGCCACTATATCATTTAGAATATGCTTTCTATGTATCAAACCAGGCTTTGTCAATTTATCAATACTTTGTTTGAGATTCACCAGTGTAGATAAAATAATTGGTAAATCTGTCTGTACTATACCATAGTTATCTTCTTTTAAGGATGCAGCTGCAATGAAAGCTAAACCTTCACATGTCCACATAACTGGTTGAGCCTGCATTAATAAATATTTCAGTCTTGTGTCTGCAAGTTCACCAAAAAAATAATTTATCCCAGGTTTCTGACATATCTTATTAAGGAAAACATAAAATTCTTCTTTAGCAACGTCAGTAAAAGTGTCTTCAATTTTATTTTTATTGTGATCCTTCAATTCAAGTAACTCTGGAGACTGAGCCATATTGCGCAGATTGCTAGAATACATTCTGACATATGGTGTCACATTTAATATGTTATTTTTAATTTCATTTTCAGTAGTTTTCCCATCTCCATTTATATTATCCAACTCCTTTATGAAACATTTCAACAATGAGAGGCAATTATCCAACAAATTGTTCCAGTTCCTTGGATGACCACCAGGTTGGGAAAGTGTAAAAATAAGTTGCCTTCTCAACGGGTCTGTCATAGCCATTATTCTTAAGTCCTGTGCACCTAGGTATCCATTAAATTGAGATCTTTGAGCTAGGGCATTATAGAGTGTCAGACTAGAATCGGACTCTATGGGAAACTTCATTGGCTCTGTTAAAACAATATTGAAGATAGTTCTCATTGTATAAATAGACACAAAAAACAAGCTTGTGTAAAACCACAAACCGATCCATATTCCAGAGCTAATTAAGTTAAGTAAGTTATCAAGCGGAGGGTCTTCCAAATACAGGCTATATACATCAGAAACAACATTTCTTGGCTTACTGCCCCACAGGAAATAAAATATACTGAAGTATAAAACTGGTGCAATAGAACTCTTAAAGCCAATTGAAAATATATTACTGATAGCAAGCTTGATTTGCTGGAATTTATCTTGATATATATGTGGAAACATTAATATTGCTGTACCAAATATGTGGACATTCAAGAAGTAATATAACCCCATCCACATACCACCAAACTGTAGAAATAAGCTCTGTTCCACCAAACACTGTCCCTCATAGTGTTCACACTGTTTCTTTAAAACGTTAAAAGTGCTTTTAGCCAGTGATGAATATAGGCTCATGGTGAAATAACCACTTAGGGCATATAAAATGCTGAAAATGATATTCTGTACTGAGAACATATTTATAAACATTGAGAATCTTGTAAAATATTTAGGTAAGGGCATCATATAATAATTTCCATACACGTAGGCTTGAAAGAATGATACCAATGCTAGAAGAATTATATTCAGTACCATTTTCCAACCAAGGATATCTTGAATCGTTGACGTTACCCATGTCCATGGATGTAATAGATCAACTTGAATAACCAATACCAATACTACTGCAAGAAGAGTCTGAAGACAAATATTCCAAAGAACTGCCACAATCAGCCTCTGAGAAAATATTTCACTTTTTGGCTCCATACCGGCGACCGGCGATCGAACGAGGTTATCAAACTATCACAGTAACTTATTAACCCAAAATGATTTGGCCATATCTTCGTTGTATATTAAGCTTCTTGCGATTCAATTGAAGTTACTTTAATTAAAATAACTATTCTACTTATTCGTGAACATAAAGCTTTAAAATAACGGTCACAAACACAAAAACGAGACCACTACTTTTCCCAAAGAGCTATACTACTCTTTGGTAGTATTATATGACTTTTCCATTTGTTTGACATCACAGACCAAAGCGCCGATTTCACTATCCAATTTATCGGGCACGATCTATCGGGTACACTGTAAATTGGGAAGTCTAATCGCTGTTACAGAGTTAGGGTCCCGATATCGGGTGATCGTGAGCACCCGACCGCCCGATCTCACTAGTTAGTACGTTAGGGCCGATTTATCGGGCAATGTGGTCGCTGTTAGGGTGTTAGAGTGCTCAGTAGGTTGTTGCGCAGCGTGTGTGTGAAACGTCAGTGAAAGACAACGAAATTTACGAACAGAGAAAAATAAATAATATTAAATGTAATTTAATATTATTACTTTACTTTATAATATATATATATATATATATGATATAATGTTTTAAGCATTTCTAAATAGCCCTGCATGTGTCTGGTACAATATTTGATAGCAGGGGTTCTGATATCAATGATTTTAGCGAAATTGAAAATTTATAATTATGTATTATTATTTTTTTATAAATTACAATAATAAAAACTAATGCTCCCCCTTTCTATTATTGTTGTTACCGACAGGGTCCATAGTCAGACTAATTTAAATATGTAACATTATTTTAAATTACCTATGGAAACAATAAACTTATTGAGTATTTATATACATAAATCGTGCCCGATAGATTGGGTAGTGAAATCGGCGCCCTACATCAACCAACAAAGAGAACTAGTTTAGTTTTTGACCATGGACGTAGTACTTATAACAGGACGGAGTGCTCCCAGCTGAAAAGCGAGCCGACCGAGATATCAAGTACAGAGGACATTTCTCTCTTTTTAATAGAGCGACAAATAGATTTTGATTAAGTGAGACTTTTCATATTATGGTTCAGTTTTTAACTACTGCGGCCATTATCATACACAATAATCTTGTTTTATAAGCTTTTCATGTAATTCGATATCGATGAGCGATATCGCACGAATCGCGCGCCTTTATAATATGTATGGAGAATCGCAAGTTTTTATTTACTCATGAAATTGCACAATCTGTCAAGATCTGTCACAAATCTCCTCTACATCGAATTGAATGTACGTACTCATAGTCGGCGATATCGCTTAAATTGTGTGAGGGCCCGACCGGCTGAATTTATTTTTGCACAATCTCATAAGCATGTGTATACTTATATTACAAATCATAAAAATATTTTTGATTTGACAAAAAATATGGCAATTTCCCTGTTATAAAAGTAATTATTTCCCTGCTATAAAAGTAATTGAAAAGCTCGATGGTGTAGTGGTAAGCGTGTTTGATCTGCGATTACGTAGGTTAAGCGACGATCGCAAAAGCCGTCAATAGGATTGTTGATAATTTTTTTTTTATTACGAACACTTTATATACGAATTACTAGGGAGATTAATTTCATCCATTAAGAATATCTGAAATTTAGCACCACCAATCTGCATTGGGACCTTTACATGGGCCTAATGAGGAATGCTTGGTTATTAGCACGTTTGATTTATTTTTTTTAATTGGATGAGTGGCCAATTTTTTTGTTACACCACATCCTGCTAAGCAAAATAAAAAAAATTGATCACCCATCCCATTACTAACCTTTGCGAACGTGGCTTAAATTTCGCAATCGTAGCTCAAAGCACTTGTACACGTACACGCAAAATTGAAACATACACACTTTAATTCATAATAAAAAACTTATATTTTAAAAAGAATTTAGAAAACGATGTATCATATTAGCGATCTCCAATAAGTCTCTCGAATTGCGTCGCGCTCCATTGAGCCATGAGTAAAGAGCCTTAGGATGAATAGATCTTATACCTTAATAATAATATACAAAATCTAGATAAAATATTTTGTAAAAATGCAAGCTCGAATTCGAATTGACTCAGGTGTCCGAATTCATTTCAAAAGTGGCACCCGCTCAATGATCAAAATAAAAATAAAAAAATTATATTCAAATGGAATCAATAGATATTCTAGAATTCGGACACATGAGAGAATTCGAATTTGGATTCGGAATTTTACAGAATCATTTGCTGCTATAAGCACTAAGTCCACTGTCCAAGTATGTCATATTTTGTCATTGTCACTTTGGTTAGTTTCTATGTCTGTGTTTCATTCTCATTCCATTCATTCATTCGTTGGTGTCATTTTCATTTGTATAGAATAAAATATTTAGATTTTAGGTGTGCATTAAATGATTTTGTTCTAAATGTTACTTCAATTAATATGAAATGCCTATAAAGTAAAAATATAATTATTGAATCTGGTGCTGTTTATAAGAGGCCAAAGTGTGATTCTATTCACTCTTTATGTGGTTGCCCAAAGCCGTGTCCTACATTTTCACAGTTTTTACTCAAATGGAAGAAAGTTGTGAACACAAATCGTTTCTTTTTAAAGGAGTGACCTAAGTTCTTCTTTGTAATGGAATACATTTTGATATTCTTTCGTGTTATCATTGCTTGAGAGACTCTTGTAATGTTCACCTTACTAGAGATAGCTTTCAGTGTGGGAGTGCTTGTCACCCTAGTTACAGCACTCTCATTATGTGTGTGTGGCTGCAAAAATTCCAATCAGAAGTAAGTCTAAAAATTTTGCGTTAATCTATAGATCTACTTTTAATATACAAAGCAGAGGCATCTCTGCAATGGCAACTTATGCAAGTAAATGTTATAATTACATTTGAACCAAATGTTATGTAGTTTCTTAAAGTTTTGTTACTGTATTATAACAAATGCTTTTCATAAAAAAAAAACACTGTATTAACAGTTGACCATCCAGTGAAAATAATAAAAATAAACTGAGAGAAATAGAAAAATATCTTAAATGCAGAGTGCTCATGTTAGTTATGATTTTATTAAACTTAATATAATTTACTTTATACTTGGTAAAAATAAAATCTTAAAAACAATCTAGAATATATTTACTACCTAGCTCTTAATAGGAGTGATGCAAGTGATCATAATAATTGTCTATTTTCCCAGTATATTTAAATTTTAAAAGTAACAAATGCTTTATAAAGCTTCCTTAAACTTCTAAATGCTGTAATTTCATTTCATTTAGCTAACCTCAGCATTTTTTTTATAAGTACAAGAAAATACAACAATTGTAAACCTTTATGTTCAATTCAATCAATTTTCTTATCTATTATTTGGCATTCTCAATGATCATTGGTATTTTATTGTTTGTGTATATTTGCAACACTATTACTAAGCAGCATTAAGGCTGTTATATTTTATGTATCTGCAATAATCATTTCTTGAAGAGTTATTTACGACTTCATATTAATAATCATAAATATTGTCTTGAGCATTTTGAATTATTAATCTACATACATATGCCCATGGACTATTCAATTTGGTCTCAGACTTAACATCCGAGTATTGAAAAATTATCTTCAATAAATATAGAACACCAATGAGAAACTATGATAATGATATTAACTAAAGTGTTGTATTTAACAGAAGTGAGTTGGTGGGCACTGCCGGTGTAGTCAAAATACGTTTCGATGTGGAAGTACCATCCCCAACGCCCACCACTCCAGCCTCTATCAAGCGGTTTGTTCTAGACAGAGCATGTTTAGACATACCTAACCCCTGGGTTTCCCGTCTCTATTTATTAAATATATCGGCAATAATCTGTGGGCTCCAGATGATGCATGTATGATGAGCCTAGGGTTACCATTGTTTGAATTCAGTTCTATTTGTGCTCTTATTAAGAATATACTAAAGTAAAACCTCATTAGAAAGACCATATCATGGATCTAATTTAATATTTTTAACTTTTTAATACTTTTCTTCAATTGTCCAACTAGTAAAATGTATCTTGAAAATAATGTGGTAACCCTAGCCTATTACATTATGTATACTAATTTTTGATTACTTAGCCAAGTGGCTTTGACAGTAGTGTGGTATCATGGTTAATATTTTCCATAACATGAATGCTTTACCAATATATCTTGACATTAAACAATGTATTTAATGCTATCCATTATTTATTATTGTTTATATTGTTATTTGTGGGTAAAATTAATTTTAATTTTCTTTTTAACTTATTTGCTAACCAAACACTGGAGACCATAATAATTATGTCTTTTTCATTGGTGGAAACTTGAAATGCTATTAATATTTTGCTTTTTTTTGGGTATAGATGAATATGATATTACAGTTTTAAAACAATAATTTTCTTCTTTCTGATTATGTTTCTATTGCTAATTAGTTTTTATTCTGCATTCGGTTTTATACTCTAATAATGTAACTATTAGTTATTAAAATTACCATTAATTATATCTTCAAACTAAGTCTTAAATACTCCTTAAATGATGAAGAAATCCTGGCTATTGTATTGAAATCCAGAAGTGGGATAACAATATTTTTGGGGTTACAAAATGGGTATTTTTATCAAGGCTTGAGTTTTGATTAAATGTAGGTTAAAAATTGCAATTTTATTATTTATTAGGAATTTTACAGTTGATATCTTATTCATACAAATGTGCAAGTCTGATGTGTTGATTCGAAAATGGGTTAGATATATTTTATTTGGAATATTATTGGGTAAATGTTTTTAATATCGCATATTACTTTATTGTCAGGGAAATAAAAATTGAAAAATAATCTACTTATTGCATTAATTTTAAATATTTGAATGCAATGCTATTGATCAGAGCCTATCTGGTTAATTTTAAAGAATTGTTCAATACCTATTATCATTTAATAACATAACTTACAGAAAGTGTTACACTTGAATAAATATAGAAAATACTATGCAGGTCTTCCTTTACAATGTATTTTTTTTATAACAGAGCATCGACGCAGAACAGCCAACGAAGTTTGCCAGAAATACCTCATCCTGTTGGAAGACACGACAGTGGCGACACTGCATCTGAAATCTATGCTACTGTAAACCTGAATGAAGGTAAATCTTGTCATTGAAATTTTTTAAAGACACGCAAAATATTACAAAAAAGAGACACAGAATTGGTAGTTCCTATCCGTCCGTCGTAGCCACTTTTCGATATCTACATACAGGTGACGCGTATCGATGTCTGTCTTTGTCGCCACTTCTTGACATTCCAAAACTTGTCGTCAGTACCAGATTTAGCCATTAGGAAAATAACCTCGAACCTTAAGCTTAGGCAATATCTTGGGTGCACCAGAATCAGCACCAAAAAAGTTTTCTAGCACAAAGTAAGTTTTTTAGCAATCCTTCAGTTATTATTAAAGCATCGTTATAGTTTACTTACTTGAGGAGCTCAATGGCGCAATAGTTAGCGTGCTCGGTCTGCGGTTGTTAAGCAACTTAATGCCTTAGGTATTCTTTACCATTAGTAGGGTATTTGTCGATGAGGGGATCATATAGATAATGAAGATTGTTTAGGGCATCGGGTAGTCTTATTCCAGCACTGCTTGGCACTTGTGTATAGACTGCAAATTCCAACAGTACTATACTAATACTTATATGAAATGTTAAAAAAGATAAAAGACCATGATTTATGCGACTTGCTTAACAGGGCGTGTACATCTAAAATGTTTCAACTTTTAATTTGTTTTGTATATTACATCTAAAATTCACTTTTTTATTTCTTCTCATCATTATACTCAAAGGAGTAAATAAAAATTTAGTTTTTAATAAATAAGTATCTCATCGTCAAGCGAAATGAGTCTATCTCATTACAGTACAATTAGCGACAGTCTTAAGCAAGTCTTATGTTTTTATGTGACAGTTTAATACTACTGTATGCTGGATAAATGCTAAAGATTGCTTTCTATATTATCTCGGAACTGGGTATTGTGGTACCGTCATTGTTTCTATTTTCATATCTGTATAGTAAGATTGTATCTAAGCAAAGCGTCTTTTATTTATTAATCCATTAGTAATTTCTGTGATGGCCTTAAAATAATGAATGGGTTGATGAGTAGTTAGTTGTTCACGCCAATTACAACCTATTCACTAATTAGGAACAACGACGCTTGATATTTGTAAGAACACTATCTATACAATTTATTAAATTGTCAATGGATACAGTCTTTTATTACGAAGGTTTTCCTTTCCAAGTGTTAAGGCCGTAACAGATGGTTAAGATGCTATAATAATAATAGATTTATTTGCATTTTATATAACTATTTGCCATCTTTTAGGTAAGGACATAATCTCATCCCTTTAGAAATTTTGGTTCTGATCAAAAAATCACGACAAGTGGTTTCGTGATGTTAACCTAACACTGCCTAAAGAATTATGAAGAGAATGAAACAGGTGGAAATCTGAAAGTGCAAGGTCAGGACTATCCGGCAGATGCATTAACACCTCCCAGTCAACTCTTAATTTTTCTTGAGTGGCAAAAGAAGTGTTATCGTGATGAAAAACCATACTCCTTCTATTGATTAATTTTGGCCGCTTTCTCTCAACTTCTTGTTTAATCCTCTCATCAGTTGTTCGCAGTAGAGCTCAGAACCTTTGACCACGGCCTTTATCGCACGTTCTTATTGTACGTGATCCACTTTTAATCACCAGTATTCAATTTCTTCATAAATTGATCGGTTTCATTATGCTGTAATTAAGAATCACAAATGAGTACACGGTTCATTGGGTTTCATTAAGTGAGCTCGTGAGGTACCCATATATTCTATTTTTTGTGTACGCAGCTTTTTTCCAATGCGCCAAAACTTTTGTGGTCAATCCCCAGTTCTTCAGCTACGTCGTAACTATCTTACTCCAATCTTACTCCACTTTTTCAAATATGACATTGAAATATTATGGCATCTTAATCGTCTTAGCCTAAGGGCGTTAAATACAAATACAGCTATGAGTAAGCCGCTGAATTTTTCTGCCGGCGAGTGTGAGGTCAGCGTCCATTTATGTATTAATCGTTTTAATATTCATTCCTTAGTTATACGATCAACTCATATTGAAACTATAAAAATACCACTTTTAAAATCATCAGCCATTATATTTTCCCTATAGCTATTTACATATTTGTATTTCAAACAGCGCCGCAAGCTATTAAGTATTAAAATCACTGCATTCAAAATATTAAATAAACCTTCAAGTAGCAAAAATATTTTTTGGGCTAAATGCTAGTCGCTCCGAAAAGTAACAAATCGGCACTTAGTACCCAAGTGTTTCGCTGTTTTTATTACGAAATGGATCCGAACTAAGTCGCGGGCAGCGTTTGTTACTACATTGCTATTGCGAAAAGTATTGTAAATCAATTAGAAATTCGACCACTGAAACATTTACATGATATTGTATCCTTAAGTTAGAGTAAGTATTTATTATGGCAATGTATATTAATGAAAAATGTTTAATAAATCCACTTTCTCCCTGGTACTCTGAGGTGGGATGAAGTGGGTCAAAGTGGATTTTCAAACATTTTTCAATAAGAATATTTTCCAGTATAGCATTGTAAATCCAAAATTGATCAAATATAGTAATTGTAATATACTTTATTAATGTTTTAATGAAAAGACACGCTGTTTCTTAATTTGATATATTAAGAAGTTATAAATTGTTAAATATTAATTTTTCAACATCTCAATTTAATTCAAAATGGAGATTGCTTTTTGTAATGATTTTTTGCCTATTTCTTCACGTGAAGAATTCTCAATATAAAAGTATTAACTTCACAGAAGCATGATTTATTTCGTAATTTTCTAAATACTTTAAAAAAATCGATACACAAGTTTTTTGATGAAATTTAATACAAAAACATTGATACACAAGGGATATGAGTCCCAATTGAAGTAGAAATTGAGAAACAACGAAGAATGCCAAAATCACCCGAGACAATAATAAAAGTTTCCGAGCAGAAATCGGAGCGGTCCAAGAATCTGATAGGACTCCGATATTAAATCGACGTGTGAGCTACTCGTAAAAATTTTAATTGGCTATTGTTATTTTCTGCTTGTCCACAGGGAACAAAACTGTCGCAACGGCATCTACGAGTCGCGACCATCCCTATGAACGGGCTTATTCTAAACTGCAAAACGATTCTCGTAATGTGTGAGTAAATTATCTAATACAAAGAAACCTAATACAACTAATACAGATACACAAACTCATATTTAAGTATGTAGTTCGAGCTGTTCGACGATGCCGTGAGCGTGAGTAAAAGTAAAATTTTATTTTATACCTACATTTACATAGGCTGCCCTACCAACAAAGCCTAACTTTGTTTGTACATATTTTTGGTGTGATATAAATGTTACGGTCAGCTAAGATTGGGTTTATCTTCGAGGTGTCAATGTTAGTATATCTTAGCCGGCTAAACGTAAGTATAACTGCAGGCCCTTGGCTAAAATGAACTGTAATGATTATTTTAATGATTAGGTAGATATTGTTTTAAGTAATTAATATTTCGTAATAGTAATAATTATAATTTTGAATACCTACATATGTACATAAAATATGTGTAATCAGAGTGATTCTCTTTTAATAAAAGTTTTCGTGTCAAAATAAATTTTAAAGATGATTAAATTGTTTCCTTTTCCTTCTACATTTTTAGCCAAGGGCCTGCAGTTACATTTAAGTTTAGATACTCATAGTAACATTGACACCTTCTCGAAGATAAACCTAGTCGGCTAATCTTAAGTTTATTTTCACGCCCACGTTTAGCCGTAACATATATATGGACTAGTCCCACTTCACTTCTAGTATTCAAAGATATCAATAGACGGAAAACGAAAGCGTCATGATTCTAGAATAGGGATGATGACTAATTTATGTTTTTCTGACCATTGGCTAGATTATTAAAGAATATTTAACACATTTCTTTTTTATTTTTGGTGTAATCAATTAATTACGGCCTTACATTGAGTCGAAATGTCGCATGAAGTCATCCTATACTTTTGTACTTACATTTTCTACATATTTATGACGAAGTGGGGCCCCGCTCCTCAAGTTTAATACCTATTATAAATTCAAACAATTTTGACAACTCTAGATTTAGATTTGGTAAATCTAATGTCATATTTTTCTTTTTTTTTGTTTTAGTACTGTTGAAGTGACACCGGCTGATCAAAGATCAACAGAGAGTGAAATTCAAATCGAAGAACGCGAAGCGGCGTCCTCTGGGCCTGGTGAGTTTGTATTTATGCACTACTACAGTGATTTCAAAAGTTCACAGGTGTTATTGTACGACTTGAATGTGATCCCATTGATACTTTTATTAAAGTTCCGTACCAGAAGAGTAAAACAGGACCCTATTACTAAGACGCGGAGTGCGTCCATCTGTCTGTACGTCCGTGATCGTTAGACAGTTGAAATTTTCACAATTTTATAAAACTAAAAAAAAGAATAAAATAAATTTTTAATATTTAATCCAAAAAAACACTGTCATTGATTCGACGATAGTTGCTACAATATAAAATGTTTCAACAAAACTGAGAAATTAACATTGGAGAAAAATGTACACGCTTATGACGTCATAAAGTTTAGCGAATCTGAAATAATACTAGTAAGTGTTTATTTTAATTTAAAAAGCCATAAAACAAATATTTCGGAAAAATAAACACGTTTTCTTGCATTAAAATTAAAATAAACTACTTTTATATCTGCGAATACGCTGCGTCATAGTCATGACGTCATTCCGATATGTATATAAAACAGATGCATACAGTAGAAGATTAAAAGATGTCAATAATACAAGAACAGTGCCATCTAGCGATCAATTACGAAATAAAAACACAAATAAGCTAAGAACAGCGCCATCTGTTAATTTCATTTATAACTAATAAGCACATCTTTATGACTAATCTGACAGCTGTCCCCAGAGTGACGTCACACAATGGCAGGCCGTGTTTCATATCACGTGACCCACAGACAAAAATCTCTACTTTTAATATTACGATATTAAGATAATCGTGCGATTTCAAGACTCAAAATCAGAATCTTTATGTTTATTATGTGTAAATTTTAGTTTTTGTGCAATTTTGTGACTTATTTTTCACTGCCGAAACTACCCTATCGTTAACGTTGCATGGCGGCGATAGACCGGATATAATTATGTAACCTTACCATATAAGCAAATCATAACTAAAAATCTTATCTAATTATTACATGAGCCAGCCTATTTACGAATTCAAACCTAGAGAAGTTAAACTTCTTGATCTCCTGCGATCCGAATAAAGCTCTCGAAATCAGTAATTTTGCTAAGTTCATATTTACCATCTTAGCAAAATTATCGAGTTCGAATATAATTCTTGTAGAGCAGACAAAATGTTTGCATTGAAATTTTCATAAAGTTTAGGAAACTGCATAACATCTCCAATACAATAATTTTACATTTGTATGAAATGATTGTTCATGTCATATGGTATAATGACAGCAAGACTTTATGGATTATACATATTGGCGTAATCAAGGATTATTAAGATGAAAGACTGTTCGATAAATATACTTAGATTAGTACTGCGACGGCATTTTATCTATAAACTGTAATTCGGAAGACTGTAAATGTTTGCATATCATGATAATTCCCTTTAATTAATATGTACCTATGATTTAATTGAATAGATTGTGCGATATCCACGACTAATCCTTTTTGAAAAAAGTCTGATTTCGAATATTTTTATCACCGTACCTTTTATTTTGATTTTAATAATGCTGATTTGGGATTTCTTGGTGCAAGATATTTTATTCGTGTTTTACGTTCGAAGAATCGGTGTCTTGATTTTTTTTATTAAATCAATAAATACGTATCTAATATCCTTCAATAGTCTGCCTGACAGACAAACAAAGAAAAATTAGTAATTATCACTATTTAATGCTCTTTTTATTGTTAATATTAATTTACTAGCTTTCCGTCAGCGGCTTTGCCCACGTGATCCCTATGGAACTGTTTATTTGGGTATCGATAGCTGTTATCATAGCATAGTTTTTCATACATATATTTTTGGTTTCTTGAACCGTTTCCGCAGCGCACGCAACGGAAGCCCTCAAGGATGAATAATTTTCCCCGTTTTTTCCACATTTACCATTATTTCTTCGCTCCTTATAGTTGCAGCGTGATGTTATATAGCCTAAAGCCTTTCTCGATAAATGGTCTATTCAACACAAAAATATTTTTTTCAATTCAAACCAGTAGTTCCTGAGATTAGCGCGTTCAAGCAAACAAACAAACTCTTCAGCTTTATAATATTAGTATAAAAGTATAGATTATTATATTTGATCAATTTTATATTCACAATGCTACATGTTTGTATACTTATATAACAATTTGGTTTATGTGACATTCAGATATAAGTATTTTTTTAAGTTGGCGTATGCCTCTGAACACTGATGAAAATACGCTCTGTCGTAGCGAAAAAGTAACATGTGCGTGAAGAATTCGTCAGTCCTGTTAGGTCCTGGGTAGCTCAGTAGTTAGAGCAGTCGCCCGAATCGCAAAAAGTCGTGGGTTCAAATCCCACCTCAGAGTACCAATTACAAAGTGGATGTTTTAAGTATTTTTCATTAAGATTATTAAGTTCTATTTAAATTCTTCCTATTTTGTCCTAAAAACATTTGTTCATATAGCTACATGTTAGGCTACCACAGTATGTTAAATTTCCTCAATCGATTTTGAACTCTACCTATATTGCATTAAAATCAAGTAGAGAAATTGAACAGTTTTGTATGGCCTGACGTGCTGTTGACTATTCTTTTGAAATTACGAATGTATTAAAACCCTCCTTCAGTCTGAGCTACTTTTAATAGTTATTTTGACTTGTTTAAATTTTTAATTGTCTTGATGTATGTATAATGAGCCAGTGTGATGCAGTATTCTGTTAAGCTGGTGAATAACTGAGTAATAAATTCGAAATATGTTTGCAGAGTCAGTTGTGATATCGGCTTCGGTTGCAATCAGCGGGCAGCTGCCGTCAAGTCAGGAGTTGCCATACATTACACCGCCTTCACCCCGACCTCATGCTGACACCGCTGCTCACTTTAGTGGTGACTCTACGGACTCAGCCAGTAAGACACTATCTATCATTTTCTTAATAATGAAACAATTGGGAGAGCTAATCGAACATTTAATGAGTTTTGCTTGATGATAAAAAGAATTAAACTTGACGATGTAAACACAGTTGTTGATTCCATTGTAACGCTTTTGGTCGTCTCTCAATCAGCACGATCAGTTAATTTTTTTCCAATGATTAATAGAACATATTACGATGGATATAACGCACACAATATAAATATTTGGGCATTGTTTACAATTTTTTTCCTGTGTAGGTCTGTCGTGCAAATATACAGTATGCTTATTATACAGGGTTACCATTAAAACCCTATTTATGATTTTATCTATGAGTTTTATTATATGTTGTGTCAATATAATCATCAAATAGCCATGTTCCTCAAGACCGAGAAGGAACTGACTCGTCAGCACAATCCTTGAAAGGTCTGTATATTGTTTTCTGACATTTGTTATCGTTCACAGAGGGCTACACCAGCATATCAGTACGGGAGCCGTTAAGCAATATCCGCGCTCAAACCACAAAACCACCCTCGCAGCCGCACTACGCCACTGTATCTGACGACTCCGGTATGTATATATTCTGCATTAATGTATTTATTCGACTTATAATCCAAACAACTTATAATCCAACTTTCTGTTGATTTTTATAAGACAAGTTTCAGTAGATACAAATACTTATTATTATAATATAATATATTTTAGAAATATATTATATTAGTACAATAAAATTAAAGTAATTTTTAATAAATATGATCAAAATGCGTGTGTATTAGCTGTCAGTGCCATGTCATAACTTATGAGTTTACGTCATTACATGCTGTTGAAAAAAAAAACGGGTTTATTAATGTCCCATTAAACAAGTATACAAAGAATTGACGTCATAAAATGTCGGACATTCTTCGATAGTCGTTTTAAAATTAAGATTTAAAAATAATATTTTTTGTCTTATTAAATTAGAACTATTTAGTTTTATTGACGTTTTCGACCCTTTACAGGTTCCGTGTTCACATAAGATTAAGATGTTGATTATCTTTTTAATTAAGAGTATAGCTACCTTCAAAGCAATACTATTGGACATTCACAATACACGCACCGAAAAAAAAACTATGGCCTATTTTCGTTATTGTTACATAAGTACGAAATGTAAATTTGTATTGTTGTAATTTTGTCGTAGACGAAATGTACGCAGCGATCGAGGAAGCGAGCGTAGGCGAAGGATCTGATACTTACGCCCAAATCGCACCAGAACCTCGTCGACGAGACCACAGTGAAGTGAGAACAGACGCCAGGTAATAAATAAGAGACAAGAAATAGTTTTGGGTGTGTATATATAAATAATTTTTAAGGAATAGGGATGACGACTAGTTTTTGTTGTTTGTCCGTCAGGTAGATTGTTGAAAAATATTAAAAAAACGTATTCTTTTTTCGTAATCATTACATTGCGGCGATTATTGAATTAAAATCTTAAAACGTTGGTTCTGCAAAACTGTGATGTAGCGAGCCCCCACTCCTTAACTTTAATGCCTGTTATCTAAGCTATTTCTTGTTAAATTGAAGTAAAAAAAAGTATCTAATATTTTTCTATTATCTGACTGATAAACTAAATAGAATTTCTTTTTTTTTTTACCCACTCGTCATCGCTATATAGCAGACGTATTCGCTAACTCAACTAACAATCTAGTCTTAAACTCCGGAAAAAGTGAGCAATTCCAATGTCTCAAAATCAATAATGCATATTTTCTATGAATGCTTTTCGTAATTTTGAAATGTCAATATCGGCGATCTTCACTGAACTCTATTTTGACTCTTGTATTGATATATCGATAAACTGGTATTTCGTATTATGTAAGCATTAGTAACCATAAAACTAAACTTCGATAAGTGATTTCATTTAAATTAAAAAAAATATAACAACTGGCTAGGGGTTACTAGTTTATTAATAAAATGAGTTTCAGAACACCAAAATGGCGCAATGACGGCTTGCCATTGAGCTCTGTGAACAATTTATGTTGGTTGACCTTAGAAGTTTCTAGAGTTACAGAATATGGGGGCAGGACTGCTTTCCTTAATAACTTAATAACTTCATTGGCTTCAATTTCGTTGACATTGGATTCAATCAAAATGTACAATAATGTATTTTAGATAAAGTGTGTATGTTCAATGTATAGTATAATAATATCTATAGTTCAAATGCACTCAACGTTCAATATAGTATTAAACTGAGTGTATTTTGATTGAACCCAATATCAACCAAATCGAAACATCGCGTAACTACGCAGTAGCTCGCTGGAGGCCCTCCTAACGTCTTCTAATTTTACTGTCCTGTTGCGTTTATATCATATCATCCGCCTATTAATGTCCACAAGGTTGGGGCTCAGGCCTTCCCTATGGATGGGATCAAACAAGGAGAATGGGGCCACCACGCAGGCCCAGTGCGATTTGGTGGATGTTAACGACAGCAATAGCATCTGAGACTAAAAGCTTAACGTGCCTTCCGAAGAACGGAGGAGATAATAAATTTTGATCACCCATCCTATTACCGGCCTTTGCGAAAGTTGCTTAACAACCGTATCGCAGACAAAACGCGCTAACCACTGCGCCATCGAGCTCCATTGAAAAATTATTGGAAATTATTTCTAATATATATTTTTGTTTTTCACAGAAGAAGCGCCCCTCCTGAAATCGGCGTTTCTACATCAAACACTAGTCATTCCAGACAAGGTATAAATACTCGTCATATTATGTATTAAAATAATTATATACGTCTCCGATTTGTATTTCTTGTTGATGAACTCCATCACCGGCATTGATCCAGAGTCATGAGCTCACCATATATAATATCTCGCACTAAATTTCAAACCAATTTAGGAAATGAATAAAATCAGAAATAGTGATGCAACTCAAGTAGGATCTTGTGTCTCGAATCACTCAAAAAATATGCAAGCTACTCAAGTAAGATTCTTTTTTTAGTGATTTCAAACAAATACCTAAGTATATAATATAAATAAACATACATTATAGAATTTTCACTCATTATTTATTTATATAATCAAGAAAGAAATGAGCGGCATAGATAAATAAAGTAAGAGTAGCGAAGTGATATATAGTGAAAAGAGAATCAACTCGATGCTCTTGACTCAATAATCCGAGTGAATAGACACTCTAGTGACACGATTAAAAAGGGCTCGATTTGCATCACTAATCAGAAACGAAATTTGCTTTATTTGAATTGCTAACATTTGTCGTATTAATGCTAGCAATTTGAATAAAACAAATTCAATAGTCTTTGAATTTTCTTTTAAATAGTAAATTTTTTTCCTATCATTTGTTCTATCATCCCGAAGCTTATCTACATTATCAATTTTAGCTTATATTGATATGTTGCCCATTTTCATTACTGAAAAGCTGTACTTGGAATCGCAACAAGGAGTCGTGACTTTCAGTTTAATTTCCCAACTAATAGGGATGATGACTGGGTAAAAAGAAAATTCTATTTAGTCGTCAGTAAAATTCTTCTATTAACGAAAAATACAAAACTTCAATTTAACAAAAAATAGCTAAGATAACAAGCGTTAAAGTTGAGGAGTGGGGGCTCGCTACGTCATAGTTTTGTAGAAAATGTACAAAAGCGTGACGTCATGTGATATTTTAACTCATTTTGTCGCCGTATTTTAAAGAAAACGAGAAAAAAATGTGCTTAATATATTTCTTCAATCTACCTGATAAGCAAACAAAAAATAAATAATCATCATTCCTATTACCTGTATCAACTGCACTGCCATTCTGTAAAAATCCGTGCCGAATTCGAATTCACTCAGCGGTCCGAATTTATTTCAAAAAGCGGCATCTACTCAATCTTGAATTTGTAATAACGTTTCGTAACATAAGTGAAGTGAATTTCGAAATGACATATCAATCAATTTTGTTTTGATTTTTATACAAAAAAATTGAATCAATAGAATTTCTTCACTAAATGACTTGATTGTTTGAACATATGAGTTAATTCGTGTTCGGATTCTGATTTTACGGAATCACAGTGCCGCATCTTATGTACATTATCAGTTTTTGGTTTAAGTGATATATTACCAATTTTCATTACATTGAAAAGCTGTCTTTGTAAAATCATGATTTTCAACTTCATTACCCAACTAATTAACCTATATGCTAATTATTTTATACCAACTGCTTGCAATACGATTATTTTGGTTTTATTTGATTATAAGTTGTTTTTACATTATTCAGATGATGAATATCCATGTGCAGCGTCTTCATCGTCTTGTTCTAATTCAACGGGTGCCCTCGGTTCACCGAAGCCCGAGAAGAGGCAAGCCAACTCGCCTCTACCGCCGCCACCCCATCCCACTCGCACACAACCTGAAAATATTCAGCAAAGACACCAACGGATGTCCAGCACAGGTAATCATCGGCATCATCAGCCCTTTAACTTCCTTATGTATGTCTTCCCTGTAGCCCTTATGTATGGTCGATTGCAAATGCAGCCGGGATCAACGGCTTAACGTGAAACACGGAGTAGCTTGAGATGATAATTTTTTGGTCATCCATCCCGTGACCGACCTTTGCGAACGTTACGTACCCGTGACCGACCGCTTAGCAACAACGATCGCGGGCCATCTCGCTTAGCAACTAGTTGGCAACGTTGCTTAGCAACTACACTAACGAGCTACTACGAGGTAATTTTATCAGTTTATTATTTTCCCCACTGTTGAGGCACAAATCTTCCTAATGAATAGAATCACATAGGCAGAGGGGTCTATTATCCAGCACATGGGTCCAGAGGAGATTTTCTGGAATTAATTTGACCAGAACAGTAGAATTACATTTAGCATTCGATTTTACATCGGCGGATTATACTGTACGAGGTAAATAAGGATTGAGACTCGCTTATGTTTTTGAAAAAGTTGTCATGAATAATGAAGGTAGATATAAACGTAATATCGGTTTTTTTACCATTGTTCGGTGTAAATTAATTTTCAAATGTATATGTTAGTATGGATATGCCTCCGAGTTTCGTTTTGTTGAACTATCAATTTATTTCAGGCGACCTCTTCAGTCACGATAAATTACGACGCAGTCTCAACGAAAAACATCAACGTAACAACAGTTGCGTCAGTTCATCGGATTTCTACGGTTGTAACTACCCAGTAGAAAAGCACAGGTTCAGTTCCGGCGAACTCATTCGGCCTCTGGTCGCTAAAGAATTAAATTTTGACATCGATCAAAGAGAAACGGTCGCTGACAATTTGTACAATTCCATCGACGGCCCTGGATACAGCGACTATTCCTCCGCCGATGCAAACGTCAGCATGAACTCTGAACAACGAATAACAGAAAGCCCATCGCGCAACGTAGAAGAAATGTACGCGAAAGTAATGAAGAAAACAAAAGGCAAAGCGGATGAATGCGTCCGCAGATCAAAAGACTTCACAAACGTTGATAAGGAACCGAACACGTCTAAATTCCGCGGCGACGACCCCGGCTACGAGACGATAGATCGGAAAAAATCAATGAATCACGGGTACGAAACTATCAATCACAAAGAAAGGAAGACTTCTCAAAACCAAGATCCGGGGTATGAGACTGTCAAGGATATCAATAAATGTGGCGCAAACACCAACTTTTCAAACAATAACTTGTTAAAACTGAACCATATTAACATGGACAGCGGTCCAAACAGTATAATAAGCAGTGACGCTGGATACGAACATATTTCAAAGACTGACAATAACGCTTCCGATTCGGATCCGAACTATGAAGTGTTGAGGAATCAACCGCCGACTCCACCTTATGCTACGATAGCTCCCAACTACAAAGTTCAACCTACATACTCTACTGTTAACAAGAGACCGAACAAATATAACAATTGGCCTGCGAACAACAACGATGAGACTACAGTGGAACCGAATTACGAGTCTATGCCACACGATCCTTTATATACAACGGGCAGTGAATCGGATCCGAATTATGAGTCTGTGCGGCCGAAAGACCCTAATTATGAAAGTGTGAATACGCAAGATCCGAACTACGAGTCGTTAAGGTGTAAAGACCCAAAATACGAGTCGGTTCGGTCGAAAGATTCGAGGTACGACTCTGTGAGGTCGAAAAAGGACCCTAATTACGAGAGTGTTAAGTACTTTGAACTGTCGAAAAAGGAACCGCCTTATGAAAAGGTTAATAATGAAAAGAGTATAACGGATGGTATTGAAAGATCCGATTCGAATGCTGGCTACGAGAAAATCAATGTAGCAGGGAATAGAGAACCAAAAAACAGTATTAGCAACGGTGCTGACGCCACAGTTAGTGATTACTTTCAAGTATGAAGGTGCAAATTTACTAGGACAATAAACGGCGAAGTGGCAATTTGAGGTATTAATTTGAATATGAACCATCCAATGAGAATGTGTGCTTTTATTTATTTATATTTTATGAGACGTTTGAATACAATTACAATACCTCAATGACAGGATGTTATAATAATATCTTCCTTAGACATCTGTGATATATATATTACTATGATTGTACTTTAAATATTTTTATTTGTACCATATTGGAGTTTTCTTTGGAGTAACAACTTAAGTAGGTTTAAATTATTTTATTTTAATACTGAATAATATTTGTAATCTCCATTGACGAGCGTGTTCAAATATATTTTTATGTAGCTGCCAATATCGAGGTATGTAAGTGTGTATGTATGCATACATTTTGTACAAAATGTAGATTGTACATAGTTTTAATAAGTAGGTATTTATAGTAGTTTTTAACTTAAGTTATAAACAATTATTAAAATTCCATTTCATGATGTTTTGTCTATACACAATTTTCGGTCGCGCACACACACATATCGACTAATTCCATGTAATTCTGTATTCACTAATTTTAAAATGCAATATACAATATGCTAAACATGTAAAATCCTGTCCAGAAATATGCGTCAGTTAGCCTCATAATTAGAATTGCAAAGAACAGCATATTCGGCCACACACGGAACGCCGAATATTTTGCGGCCGTCTTGGTAAGCTAAATATTCTTGGTAAGCTATATATAGAAATTATTTCCTGCTATTATTTTGAACCTTAAAATGCTGACAGTTGACTTCATAATTTGGATACTTTTTTTTAATACGCTTTTTTTCATTTCTGTTGCTATACTAAAAACTATTCTTATTTAACCAATTCTATGACTATAATAAAATATTTTATTTAAGTGTTAAAAGTATCCGAATATGCCGAATATTCATTGCTGGTTAGAAAGAAACATTGCAAATACATATGTACACATGGCTGCAAGTCAAGTTACTGCAATATGTTACACAATTTATTACAGTTTAAAATCAATAAATGGAGATATCTGACAATGGCTTTCAACTTGACATGCTGTTGACTGCACAATGTCTGCAATGGAGATTTTGAAATCGCTTATCTGATGCAACTTCTGGACAAGTATTAAGAAGTAAGACTGGGTTATTATACTTGTATATAAGACTGTTATTTTTTTGTATACATCGCATATTTCAACGAATTATATTTTATATTTATTTTGTAATTTTTGGGTTACATAGCACAAATAAAGCTTATACAGTATTTATTGATCCAGCATTAAATATAAGCAATATATTTTACTTGCGTAACATTCGCACCTTGAAAACCAAACTATACGAACCATAAATTATTACTTTTTTTTATAACCTACAATCTAATTGAATTTTTCTTCTTAAAATTCTATTTTTATTCTCTACATTATCATTTTTTCCTAAATAAGTTCTCTAAAAGTAAAACCTAAAACTTTACAGTTAAATCCATCAAAAAGGACGTGTGTAAATATTCGTTTACGCTGACCAGGAACAATGAGCTCTTATAGCAATGTTTAATTCGTGAAGCTAGCGAGACACCACTATTATTCCGTATAGTTCTGTCCCGCCCGCCGCACTGATTATACGAAGTTATGGTAATCCTCCCCCCTCCCCTGAGCTTAAGGCTTTAAATACAACGCATTGTATAAGACACCCGTATAACTCCGAAGTAATCAACTTAAAACATTCTGACTGTCCAGGTTTTGCCGAGCTTCTAAAACTCACCTTTTTACAGTTATAAAAATCTGTCAAATTTGCCCACTTCATTTTAGACCATTATGCTTTGAGGGTAGAGTTTTAAATCCACAGGAGAAATTTGTCATTGGTAATCTGACGTACATACAGCTATGTACATCGGTATAAAATATTATGCAGTTAGTTGTGTTCTACTGTAATAAAAACATGTTTTTTTATTTAATGGCGGCTTAATTTTCAAGGTGTGAAATGCCTCATGATCTCGGCCAAAGCATTGTTGGCCAATTTGTTGCTGTAAACATTGAGAGTCTGTTGAGTTGTTTCTTTCTTTTTTTATGAGCATATTTCACATTTAGGTAGCTGATAAATTTATTTAAAAATATATATATTTGGGTATCGAATCCCACACTTGAGCAATATCAGTGTACAACACATACTAAACTATAATATTTGCCATATTATTGGAATGAAAAAGGCAAATTTGATATCATTTGTTAAAGTAGAATGGAATTTAAAATATTTCTTATGTATAACATTAAACTTCTAGAAAATCATAGTCGCTAATGTATTTTTAAATCTTGCGCGTGATTGATTGGCTTCATAGGTCATATAAATGTTTTTTTTACGTTCTATGTATTACGCCTTAGTTGGGGCACTGTATGTTGTGGTGGTACTCTCTGGTGGTAATATTTCAGTTATTAATTGCGAAGAACACTCAGAATTAATTTTACTGCCTATTTTCCGGCATTTATAATAAATAGAATAATAGAATCTTGTAATTATAGTATTAGAACATTCTGTTATAAATGTCTCCTATGACGCGTAAAGAAATAATCAAAATAAGAATTAATCAAAAAGAGTTCTCATAATGTATTTGTAATTAACTTTGTATTTTGCCACGAACTTGTTTAAGGTTTTTGAAACAATTATATATTTAATGAATGTTTTTTATATATTTTTTATTCTTGTAAATCTTTCTATAATTATATTTGTTTTTATTCAATTCTGGAAGGGGTTTTACCATGTGCTCATAACGCTGTTTAGGTGAAGTGGTTTAGGCAGGATTATAATAAAGCTCACTTCGGCTGTGGCATATAAGTGCAACTTATATGACCATAACCAACCAGCTGTCTCAAACATGTTTTATTGCAATTTAAACAGAAAAGACATCTCTGGTGTTATCAAAAAGTGCTTGTTTAGTCATAGTTCTCTTGTTAGTGTTTATTATTTGTTATAACTGTTATGTTCATATTGTAGTGTAATGAAATTAAACTGTCGATGTACCTAATTATAAGAGATAGATGAAATATAAATTATAAGTACCTGAATTATAACTCATATACATCATATGTATCAGTATGATTCATTATATCAGTGTTTTAAATATGTATAATTGTGTATATTGTGAATTTTCGTGCAATTATCTTCATTTGTAAACTAGTTCAAAACATACTTTTCAAAAGGCAATGCGTTGATATATCCCAGAACGTTTTAAAACGATATCCTCAATACAATATTGATCTTTATCTACAATGAATAGGGTACGATTTGGAAATAAAAATGGTGCACATGCTTATTGCTACAAGACGCTTGGGTCACCTTTTAAATATATATAGCTATCTGTATTACGTACGACGTTACGTAAAAATGCGTTATGCAACATCTGTTTTTTTTTTTAAATTGAATACAAACATAGGGAAGTAAGATCTATCAATCTCCTCAAAAAGTGTGTGATGAAGAGGCAGGATATTGAAGGTACCAAAGGTTTTCGACACTACCTTTTGCAACTTACATTGCTTTAGTGTCTTCTTCACAATTTGTAATGGTAATATTTTGTAATACTTATCATATACATGATGTCTGAGTAAAAAAAAAAAATCTAATTAGTTCGTCAGTCAGATAATAGAAAAATATTAGATACGCATTTTTTTGCTTCAATTTAACTAGAAATGGCTTAGATGCCTATGAATTGAAGTTGAGTGTTGGTAATACAATTATGTAGAAAATGTACAAAGTCGTGACGTCATCCGATATTCCAACTCAATGTGTCGCCGTAATTTATTTATACGGAAAAATAATTACGTGAAGAACAGACCGTCAAAAATTAACCATTATCCCTATTAGTAGGTATGTTATTCTGAAATAAAAAAATAGGTTAGTTTAGTTTTGGCAGCCATCAAGTGTGTGTACTATTAGGTAGTGACTTAAAAAGCTATACCATAAATCAGGCATTACAAAAAATTTGCATGAAATGTAAATATAGTTTGTATAAAATAAAAAATTCTGTATTTTACTATGATCCCAAAAACAAGGATATCCATTCCATTTGTATTTATAATAACAAAATATTTAAACAAATAAAATGTATAACTAGTACTTTCTTTTGTTTGGTTTCAAAGTGTTTCTCGAGTATAACCATGCCCCGAGATGGGATTCGAATCAGCCTTTTACAATACGTGCGACTGCTCTAACTACTACTGAAATTTATCAAGCACTTATTAATTTCATTACTAGTGAATATTTTAGTGGGTTACTATCTTTATTTTAGACAAAAACTTGTCTGCAGATGAGCAGATAGTGCTAGATTGTTGGTTATCCAACTATGCCTGGCGCTTGCGAAAGTTGCTTAACTTTCATATAGCAGACCGACCGAACTCTATACCACTGCGTCATCGAACTCAATAGATTTTTGGTCACCCATCCTGTCACTGACCTTTGCGAAAGTTGTGTAACTTTCACATGGCCGACCGAATTTTCTGTCAACTCTATCATCGAATTCACTCGTCTACATTATAATGCAAAAATACTTCAATTTTCTTTACCGACAAACGCGTGATTTCGCATTGCTATGCTAAACATCTGCGGCCGAGTTACAATTTCAGCAATGTATGAAACAAAACGCGACAGCAACAATAACGACCAACGATATATTTTGCTGTTCTTCTTTTTCTTTTATTAATGACTTAATAGGGATGACGACTGGGTAAAAAAAATGCAATTCTATTTAGTCCGTTTAAAAATATTAAATACGTATTTTTTTTTTACCTCAATTTAACAAGAAATAGCTTAGGTAACGGGCATTAAAGTTGCGGAGTGGGGGCTCGCTACGTCAAAGTTGAGTAGAAAACGTACCATAACGTGACGTCATGCGAAATTTCAACTCCATGTAACGCCGTAATTTTATGAATACGAAAAAAATACGTGTTTGATATTTTTTTATACTCTACCTGACGGACAAACAAACAAATTAAGTCATTATCCCTATTGCGCGTTTCGCATAATCCTGCCATGTCAACTAAATTAATCGACTTCACATGCGAACTTCCTACTACTTTTACAAAATAAAGTATTTTAACTCTGATAATGTTGGTCAGGTATTATATTACTTAAAGACTAGTTTTTAATCGGCCGACTTGTTTTTGAGTTTATCCTTTACAATAAATAACGCTTATTAATAATTCCTTTTTTATAATATACGTATCGATATAGCTATTTTCGCAATTAAATATTTATATCCGTTAGTCATCGATTGCTTGAAATACAGTATTCATTTTATTGCTCTTATACTGGGAGGAATAAAATGACCGACACAGCCGAAAGTTACAAGTTAGGTTACATGCAAACGTTCATTTTATTTGACAAATATTTAAAAATAGAGGAGGTGTAAAAATGGAGTAAAAATTTTAAATTTCTGAGTGTTAACAGCTCTATAAGGCGCATGCGCAATATCGATTGTGTGCAGATTACAACGAACCGCGAAATACATTAATTTAATTATTTACCGATATCTTAATGATAGTCGATGCTGAAAATGTCCACTTCCTCTCTGAAGACTGAGCTAAGCACGCTCTTTTCAATGCCGGTGCATGCACGCGCAAAACACATCACATTTCACACAAAACTAAACACAATCTTCACTAAACTAAACTTAACACTCAAGACGAACACTAGTATCTTATTAACAAAAATTCAATTAAAAATGCACTAGAACAAAACAAAAATCGACAAAAAAGGCGCTTCGCAGCGGTGCGTCGGCGGCGATGCGCAACAACACTCCAACGCAATAGGTCGACGGCGACTGATCGGCCGGAAAATATCGACAGAATAATAAAGCCGCCTGGCGGCTGGCGGGCGGGTGGGGCTTTAATGTCGAGGGACGAACTCGGTTCACTTTTTTTTTTTCGTCTTTTGATATCACGCATTTTTTAATGTTCTTTTTAAAGGCTATTTTAATAACAAATTCCTCAATCATTTTTAAACAAAGTTCATTTGTGTTAATGATGAATTGCTGGAAGATTTGTGAGTTTATCGAGTTTAATTAACGATCCCGTTGTTAAAGGAGTATTACCCCATTCAAACAATTTTTTTGGAGAATTGCTCTTTTAAAATAATGTAGGTTAATGTTAGACTGATCTCTCTACAATAATTTAGGAAATTTTACACTCGGTTTCTTAATTGAGAATTTAAAGTGAAACGTCTCAAACTAACATCACTTAGTTTTCGTTTCCGATTTGACTTTTTTGATGATCAGTTGATAGCAGTTTGATAAAACTAGGACTATTTGACTTGTGAAATTAAAAAAACTTAGGTTATTGAGAATAAGCAGTAGAAATTTTCTACTTTTTTCAAATCGGAAATCGGCTGTTAGTCTGTAAATCGATTTTAGCATTTTGACTGCCTTGTTTATTGATTGTCTGGTAGAATTTGCTTGAAAGCAGTCTTATAAACCACAATCTAGTTTATTTCGTTTTTAGAAATGAAGAAGTCAATGACCGATTTAAAACTTTTCCTTAGTACGTCCCAAAAACAGCTGACTCAGGGTTGAAAACACTCATTTTTTTTTCAAAAATTTTGTAATTTAATATCTCCGAAACTATTTGCCCTAGACTTATAATTTTTTTTCATCATATTAAAGACAAATAGTACTCTCTAGGAACCTCGGGAGTGTCGGTCGTTCTGTTCCACCGAGTATACGTAGATATTATAACGACATTACCTCAAAATCTCTGTTACATATTCAGATATTCTTCAAACTCCGGCATAATTTTAAAATGTTTTTTTTTCCTACTCATTCTAGAAATAATTCTCTAAACCGTTTACCGTTGGTTTGAACAATGTACACGGTTACGCAAAAATAGCCGATTTTTCATAGTAAATGCCCATCCTCCTTTCTACATGTCAAATGAAATTATTGAAAGATGGACACACTTTTTGTTTCCATTTTTGATCTTACTATTGTTTTTAATCTAATAAAGCATAGAACTGTCGAACGTTTTAATAAATACCTATAGGATTATAGATATTATTTCCGATTTGGCTGTATGATTTCGATCTCTTCATCTTTATGAAAATAAAAGTTGCTACATAAACTGACAGTGACAATCAGACGTAACGTGTATGTTTTTTATTTATCCGATGGACTAATACAAGAGTAATAGTGTTTTATGTTCCTTATTTATCATTTTAAATAAAGAAGGAAATATGGCCAATTATAATCCAAACGATTATGCGTGGCAAACTCAAAATAGTCAAAACTATTCTTTTGACACAACCGCTACGTTTACTGATCCAGCTCAAACATTGGGTAAGAGTTATTATCATTTTATTATGTTCCTTTTTAGTACATTTTCATTCTATAAGATCTATAAAATCACTCTTATTTTTCAGACTTTCAAACATTTCCTACAGAGCAACAAAACTTTTCATATGATCAAGGACAAGGGTCCATGCAAGCAAACAACAATCAATATTATAATCCTAATTTATTTACGCCGGCTCCAGTACCAGTAGAGTCCAATATAGAAGCAAACGAATTCGATGAACCACCACTGTTAGATGAGTTAGAAATATATCCAGATAGAATCCTAGAGAAGACATTGGCTGTTTTAAATCCATTTCATGGACAGTCAAAAGCAGACGATGCAAATTTCTTACTAAGAGATACAGATATTGCAGGACCAATCGCCTTTTGTCTAGCACTCGCTGTATGTTTATTTTTGTCAGGAAACAAAGCCCATTTTGGTTATGTTTATGGCTTGTCAGTAATGTCTGTTATTTTAATGTATTTCTTATTGTCACTCATGAGTCGAACTGAGGGTGTTTTTACAGTTTTAAGTGTAGCCAGTGTGTTAGGATATTGTATGTTACCTATGGTGGTTCTTGCTGGTTTAGGTATATTTGTGTCTCTTGAAGGAGTACTTGGTATTTCTCTTTCAGGAGTAGCAGTGATTTGGTCTGCATTGTCTGCTAGCAGATTATTTGTAACTATGTCAGGTGATTCTGAGCAGAGACCTTTGATAGCATATCCCTGCGCTTTAGTTAATGGTGTCTTTGCATTATTAGTTTTATTCTAAACCATCCTTATGTACATAATACTTTTATTATGAAAGGTGACAAAAGAACAAGAGTGAATTTCATTGGCACCACTAAAAACTTGTATCACTATTAGTCTGACTTTATGTAAAACTTATTTTATACAAAATGTAAATAAATTTGAATAAATCATGTCATATGTAATTCTCAATCGGCAGATAACATTCAATACATTAACATTAATCTAACTCTTTGCATAACAATGTTCAATGATGAAAAACTAGGTATAGAAATGAAACAAAACAATTAATCAAAATTATATGTAACTCAATTTTTAATAAATACTCTATACAATTACCTAAAATTACATTCGGGTATATGTTGGTCGGTCACTGAAGAAATTCTTTAATATCATAACCTGGGCAAATGTAACACACATGATTGCCAGTGTTTCACCCATGGACCACCAGAAAACTCTTTCGTTCAAATCCTCAGCTCGTTTACGGCCCTGTGCTTCTCTTAATCTGTGATGGGTTTGATGATCTATGATTCTATTCAATGCAGAATGTATTTCTTCAGCTGATGTCTCCAACTGGATACATAGATGTGTGATATAAATGTAAAAAGCAATACTTAACTAAACTAATACTACTACTTGGATGAATTCACATGACACCTGACGCACAATTCTATTTGTTGTCAAATGAAAATTTGGAAAATTCCAAATCATTCATTTTTTTTAGTCATATCCATGAAGATTGTCAGTGCATCAGAGGCAGTATCAGATCCTACTCCTGTTCCATTATAAATTATCAAAATTATGCTTCTTTGGAAGCCATATTAGCATTTGAAAATGTGTGAAATTTAAATCTCAGAAAAATGGAATAGGCCATCAGATGTCATGTTAATTTATATGAGTAGCAAACATATTTTTAATAAATTTTTATACAAATTATTTTGAGGTTATTTAAAATAATATTACCTGTGTAAGAACAGTTGCATGTTCTCCAATGCCAGGAAGAGGTTCCTCAGGGCCAACATTTAACTCCATGTACACCAGTTTGTGTGAAAATGTACTAAATTCATTGCTAAAGCAAACTTTGTAGATACCTGACAAAAAGTTTCATAATTATATTAACTATATATGAAAAACAGTATTTTTTTTTTTTATTAAATCATATCATATAATTACAAGACTTAACTTATTAAGCAGTTATTACAAGAGTAATTTTCCATAGGAAATTATACTGCTTCATAAAGTAATTATAAAATAAGGATATTTGCATAGAGATTGTACCTGTTAACTGTGCAGTAAATTGGTGAGAATCATATTGCATTTTTTGTTGTTGATAGATTATTTGCCTATTTGGTCCTTCTATCTTTACATCTACATCATACTGTCCACCTGTTATTACCTGTAAATAACGTCTTATTGGTAAGTCATTGGAATTACAAAAAGTAGACGATAGTATATACTTGTGTGACAATAATTCTCCTCTATAGGTACTTAAAATGCATTGGTAGGGTTATGGTTATCTTATTTTTTTAATCAGCTGGTGAATCCTATAACGCTTTTATTTTAAATACATTATGTTATTATTACAATCTTCAGAATATTACCTGATATTCTAATGCAGCCGATGTGTTCTTTTCTATTTCTTGATAAAAACATTCTACGGCACTATCGGAAAGTTCGAATGTTAGTTCCACGCTTTTCGTGAATATACCATTGATTAATGTTAACAGAATTGTTAGAATTAAGGGCGTTACAAACATTTTTCACTTTAACTTTTACTGGTTCGAATTAGGACTAAAATTCGCCAAAAAATATTAATCAACTCTTTGACAACGGCTATAACATGACAAACGGCAATTTGACATTTTACACCACGTAATTGGCTGCGTTCCAAATCTGGGAATTACTTGCATTGGCAAAGGGACTTAGCATACAGCATTACTACATCTCTGTGGATGTTTGACGTTGCCTTTATACCTGTAGTAAATGGAAACAGAAAAAATAATAAGCAACGAAAGTTATCCGATAATATAAGAAACACCAAGTAAATAAGATAATATCTTAACTTCTCGGTAACAAACACACAGCATGTACTTTTATATATAGTGGGTAAGAAACTGCAGTTTTACTTTATTTATTACACCGTCCAATGTACAAAACTGTGGAGGGCGGTTAATCAAAATATTGTTTCGTCCGTTATGCTTCGAATGAAGCTGCTTACATAATAAGATATTTGACACCTTTCTGAGAACTCTTTTAAATGGTTTTAAAATTTCATAGGAATCGGTTCTATTTTCGATGAAAATAATTGTTAAAGTTTAAATAGCCAAAATTGCGCAAAAGAACACTTCACTCACTATGTAATGGCACTGATCACGTGGTAATTGTGATGTCACACGCCGGTAAATTACAACCTATGTAACAACTATTTATTTACGCGGTCAACAAATACGAGGGTAGATTGAAAAGTTCGCGGCCTCAGAAAGAAAACAATATAAAATATAAGCAAGTAATTTTATTTTTCCACGTAAACTCTACGCACTTCTTCCATCTGGTTTCCAACGCCAGTATGCCGGTCATAAAAAAAGTTTCTTCAAGGCCTTCAAAAAAGTCACCCACCGCAGCTTCGACCTCGTCATTTGATGAAAATTTTTGATCTCCAAGGTGTTTTTTTGGTTTGGGAATAAATAAAAGTCTGAATGTACCAAATCAGGGGAATAGGCGGGATGGGGCAGTAATTCAAAGCCACAATCACGAATTTGAGCCATAGATTCAACAGACGTGTGAAAGCGTGCATTATCCTGATGGAACAACGCTTTCTTGTAGTGATGAGCCCCTCACTCGCGAGGTGCCTCTTTTGAGGTCTTCATTTCGACAAAATGAGGTCTGCAATTTACCTGATGGTCAATCTCCGATCTGTTAATATCAGATCACAGATTTCCTCGATGTTTTCTTTAGTCGTAGACGTCATAGGCCGGCCGAGCGAGGGTCATCTTCAATACTCTCTCGTCCGCGCTTAAATTCAGCAACCCACTTTTTGCATGTTCTCAGTCATGTGCACAGTCGTATACGACGGAGCCGATTCCCCCAATGTTGTTGATATATCTTCGTGAATCTCTTTTCAATCCACCCTCGTAGTATGAGGAAGTATTTAAATAAAATTAGTTCCTGAAATCGAACTAGATGTCGCCACGGTACGTTCTTGATTTCTCCATGACAACTTTTCCCGTTTTCTTTCATGCTTAAAAGTAAATTAGTTTTCAAAACTCAATAAACAACTCCTATTCTATTTGTACTTTTTCGTATTTGTAATATCTAAGTTACGAACTTTAATATTTCAGTTTTTAATATGGTAGTTATACGGAACGGAAATGACTTTCTTTGGTCCATTCGTTTCCTGCAAAAATCTACTTTTGCTAGAGTCGCCATCTAGTGGAGGTGCTTTCGTTTTTTTAAATAATTCCTCATTATAGAGAAAACGACGTTAAATTCTATGTTTCGTATCTACTGTGTTGTTTATAAAAATGAGCTACATACAAATAGTATGTATAAATACAAATTTTTCGTATCTCTTATAACACTATTTAACATGACAGCTTCCTGTTTACATGTGACGTCACATAAAGATAAACAGAACCTGTTGTTATTGGTGCGATGACAACCAATTACAGGTCGTTTTCATCGTTCATTAAATTCTTTAAAATGTTGTATTTTCTTTAGGTTATTTTTCCAAAGCTAAACATATTTTGTTTGCAGATTCTAAGAAATAAACTTTATTATATTATTATATAACAGGATGGGCACAACACGCAACTACACAATGTTTAATAGTATCAAATACCCTATTTTGGTCGAAATTCACTTTTAATAATTATTCAACCGATTCATTGCTGAAGACATGTCCGTCGTTGCATCAATTTATTTAACGATGAGATTTAGCGTTAATACGATAATAGTGTGTAACGTCATATGTTATTAACATGTGTCGTATGAGACGTATTATATTTTTTGTACCCGTAATTTTTTAATGAGTTATGTATATGTAAGCTTTGATTAAAACGAAAAAAGAAAATACGGCATACTAATAGTTACATTGACCAAAAAAAGGCCCTGGGCAAGCAGAGATACAGCTATGAGTTCCAACTATAGCATGAGTGAGATAAGAACTCACGCTATAGACAGACAGCAATGAATTTCAACACTAGCATGAGCGAGGCAGGAAATTGTGATCGTTAGTTCGTTACACACGTGCGCGTATTTTCGGGTTTTTCGGGATTTGAATAGAATCACTAATTATTATTGCATATTCTTACATGTAATGTAACTTTAGAGGTATTTTAGGTACAAGAATGGCAGAGAAATGGCAAATAATTATTTCCTAAATAAAAACATTTTTAATCGACTAGATAATTTATTTAATTTTAAGTTAAGACCACTATGTTAACTAAAATTTTAGTATATAGAAAGTTTGAAACCTTTGGATATGAGTTTTGCTTTATAATACATCATCGCTCTTAAAATGAGTCGAACAAATTATGCTGCGCGAATTTGGATTCCATGAAGGTTCATTTCGACTATTACGAATGGCTGAAATCCACTTCTCTTTCACATTTAGATGTCGATTTGGAAATCTAAAAATTAATGCGAACCCGTTGAGTAAAAATAAAGAAGTAACAAATTAAACCCGTTTTTTATTTTTTACTTCCTTATTCTAACACTTAAATATCTGTGATCTCTATGTAGCATTTTGAATGCAAAATTTATTAAATATCATTTCCATACAACAAGAAACAAATACATAGCGTAATTTGTGTTTTGTTTAGAAATAACGCGTTATAAAATTAAAGTTACCTGATTTCGGGGTAAATAATAACGTTTAACGATGGTAATATGTTCCAAGATGGCTGAGGTTTTGTGTTCCAAGCAATAACTTAAATTTTATTCTTAAATTACTGAAAATGTAAGTTTTCTCCAATAGTAGGTGAGTTGTGACAGAGGTGAGTTGTGACAAGGACGATTTCTCTCTACGTATTATAGTAAGCGAGATGGCATTAACGCTTGTTTGTCGTTCTCGACACGCGCTACACGACTCAGTACCTGTCGACGGTGCATATGGCACAGTTGCGTAAATATATCGTCAGTGTACAAAAAATTACGAAAAGTAAGTTTTTCTTCAAAACATTATTTGAATATATATCATATCTTAGTATATGTGCATTGATGTGTTATTTTTTCTTAAGTTATGTAGTTATTTAAGTCTCAATACGTGGCACTGATTTTTTGTATGCGCATCGTGTTTAGAAAATATGAATTATTATTCGGACCAAGACGTCATTTTGAACACCTAGGAGAGTTGTGACAGCCTGTCACAACTCTCCTAACTTACTCCAAATTTCTGCTGGGCTATTTTTACATTATTTTTTATTAACTTTAGATGTTTGTTTGTATGTTAGTAGCTACTTAAGGTGTATAATGGCATACCGCATACTTATTTTTTTGAGAATACCAAATAACTATACACGAGAGACTGAAAATCTAAGAATGTTAAGAAGCGTGTCTTAAGCGAAGAAAAAAAAAGAAACCTAAAAAAGCAAAGAAGACTAATAAGAAGAATAGAACAAGTGATGAAGAAGATGTAGAAAATAATTGCTTTTATTTGGTTTGCCTTGAAGCCTATGCAGACAGCAGATCGAATGATCAGTGGGTCCAAAGCCTGGAATGCAAAGGCTAGGCACAGTTAGATTGTACTGGGGACGAACTTCATTACGTTTGGCATAAATGTGAATCTGATTAGATTAAGATTTTATACTGATGAGAATATTCTCATAACAAGTAATTATAATATTTTCATTAACTAAATATTGTATCGCTTTGAGATCAATATATTATTGTAGTATTAATATTAATACTATGTTGTTTTAGTTGGTAGGTATTAAAAGATGATTAATCAAATCAAATCAATCTTTATTATTGATCGCAGGTTATATAAAGATATTGGATGCAAGGACTGAATAGTTACACCGTGATCTGCCTAAAAAGCATACAATATTTGTAGGTTAGTAATTGTCAACTAATCTAATCAATAACATATTATGTCAAAAATTCAACTAATTCATTAAGTATTTTACATTTACAAAGTACTGTCAGCTAGATACTCGTTTACACTATAATATGTTTTAGCTACTAATAATTTATAAAGTTTTCTTTTAAAAACATTACAATTATCCAGATTACGTATTGTTTTTGGAATTTTATCAAAAATTTTTGGAGCCATACAAAAGATACTTTTGTTCAACTGAGCTGTCTTAGAGGGTATCGTACACAATTTGTCTCGATGATGCAATCTCGTCTTATTTTCAAATAGTTGTTGATCCTGTTTGACAAAAATACCAACTTCGAATATATAGATTGATGGCAGGGTCATAATATTTAGTTTAATAAAATATGCTCTTAACACATTTTTTCTGGGCTTTAAAGGCAGTTACAGAATCAGTCGAATATCCCCAAAATATAATCATAACATATAACCGTATCGAACAGTAGAAACTACGTACGCGTGATAAGCTGTAAGGACCGTGCACTGATTCGCGATCCTACTAAGTTTGTACAGTGCACAAGAATACTGGGACAACTTTTTGCAAACATGTTCAGTGTGTGTTTTCCAAGTCAAATTTATTATTATAGTACTGATTAAAGTACTGATTTATAAAAAAAAACGTGCTTGATTTATTTATGTCGTATGTAATGGTATTTTTATATCTTATAGCTTAAATACAATGATGTCACAACTTACCTCGGTACCTGTCACAACTTACCTCGGTGGTAGGAGAGTTGTGACAAGGGGAGTGGACTTGAATTTTGTTATTTTTTTCAGAAACTATTATACTTTAATTAATTTTAGTGATGGTTTTGAAAACAGAAGGAATGGCGCTAAACTAATTCACATGAGTCATAACTGTGGAATGTTTCTTAAGCGAGATAGAGCCCCTTATGTAAAAATTGTCACAACTCTCCTTACGTTTGAAATGTGATTCTATCCTGCTTTTTATTTTTCAAGTGAGTGAAAGTTTGTAGTGAGGGGTGTAAAAACCAATTTTGTTACACCCCTCACTACAAAAGTCGGCATTTAGTAAGAAGTTTTTGTTTATTTTTTATAACGAAGCGTTCCGCACACTGTCGATAGTTAGACTGATAAGGAAGGCGTAGCTTCGTTTTGTGTGTGTGCGTGAAACTGTATACGAATACGCTGAGGCGTAGTTTTATCGGCTTCACTTTTCTGTTAGGCAAAACTCCGTCTATACTTTTTATTTGGTCTGAGACTAGTAGTCTATGAGGCATGTCTGCACACATGACCGCGGGCATGTAGTGATTTCTCCGCTTAAGTCACTAGGTAAGTGGTAGGTACTAGTAGTACTAGTAATGTTGCATGCAAAATTAATTAAATAATTCACACAAATAAATAATAACAGTAAAACAATATTTTATTTAAAATTCATGAAGATACATACAAATGGAAAATAGTCATAATTTCACATAATATTTTAACAGTAAATTAAAAAAAGCCATGATTCCAAGAAACAAATACTGTGAATTATAATGTATTAAATTGTATTTAAGTGCAGAGGGTCTAAGATGGAGTTTGTAAAATGCAGACAATACTTTGTTTTTATCTTATGAGTGTTTAAAAGGCGAGACCAGCGTCCGCGTATGTGGTGAATATCTTCTCGATGGAGTTGGCGTACGCCGCTGTTCTCAGATCTAAGCCCAAGTTATGCCTCATGGCAGTCTTCATGATGGCCTGTTAATATAAAACAAATATGTATAATACTAGCTCGGTGGCGTAGTGGATAAGCGCCGTGGCCCGCGATCGTAGTCGTTAAGCAATTTTCGCAAGGGTCGGTCACGAGATGGGTGACCAAAAAAATTATTATCTCGAACTACTCCGAGGTTCGGAAGGCACGTTAAGCCGTTGGTCCCGGCTGCATTTGCAGTCGTTAATACCCTCCAATCCGCATTGGGCCAGCGTGGAGGGTCATGGCCCATCCTCCTTAATCATCCATAAGGAAGGCCTGAGCCCCTGCAGTGGGGACGTAAAAGGGCTGGTGATGTATAATACTTATTGTTTACAACATTATTTGATATTATTAAGTCTTAGAAGAAAAAAGAGTTACAGAGTTTTTGTTACACACACTAGTAATAAATACACTTAGAAACCCTGTCTGTCTTAGAAAAACTGTATAAATTGTATTTTCTCTATGATTTATGGTGTACAATAAAGAATTTATTCATTCATTCATTCATTCAAACGAAAAGGGGGGAGAATCAGCACAATGACATTATGAAAAAGTGCTTTATTGATTCTCTGGATATTAAAAAGGTTACAAGGGTATTTTTTTGTATTTCATTTACCATGGTAATTCAATTTTGATTGAAAATCCCTTTTGTTTATTCTCAATGTTCTCTGCTACTCAATCTTCATAAAATGCTATCACATCGTTAGAAACAAATTAAATAAAAAATGTTGCTTACCCTAGCAGACCTCTCCATGGTATAGTCTAGACCGGAGTGTACAATGTCTTTTTCTGATGCACCAGAAATCCTCTTCTGGAAGGATTCTGATGGGGTGACGGGAATACGACCACCGACGCGGCCGAAACGCCTTTCAAGGGACTCTTGTACTGATTCTGTATAGAAGTTAAATGTCATTTTAATAAAGTTTTTCCCTATGCTGTAACGACACATAATCATTCATTTTACTGTGCAGAGAAGGCGTTGGTATTGTAATCAAAAGATTCTACAGCTGCCTTTTCCCTAGAGATTCTAAAAATGTTGCCTAATGTAAAGCAAATAAAGTCCCAAGTCTTTGACTTCACATACTTGATCTATTTATTATTCCCGTACGTTGAAACTCGAATGAACTTACTAATTCTATTCCTACAATCAACTACGCTCTGACCAATGCTATTGCCAAAACGGGAGAAGAACAGTGGTGTACATTCAAATCCCCAAGTTATTTTTATTATATTTTTCTAATAAATGCAATATTGTATAATAACCAGTGGTCGGAATTAGGTAGAGTTATTCATGTACTTACACTGATTTCATACAGCGAAAGAATAAAGTAGATATGCCTCAAATCCCGAGATTAATTTTAAAGAGCAGAAAAAATCACGTGATTTTTTAAATAAAAAGTTATTTACTTTTACACAATTTAAACTACTGCACTCACGACCTTGCCAAACTTACATCAATGACATCGGATGTCCAAAGTTGCAAAATACCAATACGCGCGATGTTGCCACGAAGGTCTTCATTAATATCAACATTTCGATGCAAGTACATAAATAACTCTACCTAATTCCGACCTCTGATAATAACTTTACAGGTTGGACTAGGCAAATTGACAATTTTAATTTCATTTTATTATTAAATAGTCCATTAATATCTGAGAAATAACAGCATGTCTACGAATAATAGTTTCGGAGATACGGTGCTATGTTTGTTTAACTGTTGCTAGTCGGCCGAAAACGTTCCCTACAAATTTAAGGCATTAAGTGACGTCACACAATGCTACGGTAGCGAAAAATGTTGATGATGATGATGATAATGAAAGTTGTTACGTCTTAAATAAATAAATTTTCTTAAATATTTTCAAGTTATAATGGTTCATATTTTCCAAACATATTACAGAAACCTTTATTTTCAATTGTCCTACAATACAACAAGCCTTGTGGGTTGTACTACAAGTACAAAGCTTTATGTGCTCTTTACTTTAGCTAAAATTCATACTTAGCTCATTTCATCCCCTCCCCGGGCCATCGGCCATTTAGCTCATCCTGCATAATCATGTCCCCTCTTTGGGTCATGGGCTGGCAAACTTTGATTATTTGTCGTTAAAATTAAAAATACGCTATTAATGTATCCGAAATCGGATTTAGACCCAGAATAAAAATACTAAGATAACTCACCCAACAGATGGTAGTTGGACTCGCGCTCGTACTTGAACGTGAGACGTCCGTACGACACATGATTCAGGTTCTTGAGCCACTCGAAAAATGATACGGTGACACCACCAGCGTTGATGTAAAGGTCCGGAATGACCAGGATGTTGCGGTCGATTAAGATCTTGTCTGCCGCCGGCGTTGTGGGACCGTTGGCAGCTTCGGCGATAATCTGAATGTTTATATGTCGTTATAAGGAAAATTTCGAAACTTCAAGTATGCAAAGTTGGATCATAACGCCATCTGGGTATTATTTTTAAAACTATTTTTAGGCCGCTGTGGCGCTATGAGTTATCGTTTGAAGTTTAAACGTTTTTAAGGTTCCGTACTCAAATGGTCCATAAATAGGGAACCCTATTACTAAGGCTTCGCTGTCTGTCTGTCACCAGGCTGTATCTCATGGACCGTGAAAGTTAGACAGTTGAAATATTCACAGATGATGTATTTCTGTTGCCGCTTCAACGACAAATAGTAAAAACTAGAATAATATAAACGTTTAAGGGGGCACCCATGCAACGAAGGTGATTTTTCTTTCTTGTTTTTGCTCGATATTGATAACGACAATAAGTGCAGAGACACTCGTTTTAATCGATAATGGTACGGAACCCTACACGAGCAAATCAGATTCGTGCTTGGCCGGTTTTTAAATAAACTCATTGTTAGGATGCTGTTAGGTCATTCTGGCTGTCATGGTCTCGTTTATTTACTTTAGACTGTCATTGTTAAATCTCCGGCTACAGGCGTTATTACCATATGGGTTGTTTCACTTTTAGCGAGTCCACTCTAGAGTTAAGAAACTCCAACTAAGTAAATCAACAGAGATTGTAATTAGAGCGTTTTATCTTTTAACAAATAAAGGTTAAAAATCAAAAGGAGAATAAATAATAAAAGGAAAATATAAACAAGATATTTTTTTTGGAAATAATAAATACTCATCTGGTGGCATCCATATTTGATTTATAATGATGTCTCATTATGCATATTTCGCTCATCGAATTCTGGATTTTCATATGTATTAGGCTATTTTGTTACGTCCATTTAATTTAATTACCTTACCTACAGGTCAAGTTAAACAAACAAATTACGTAAAATCAACAGAACCATTACCTACTTCTTTCTAGAATGATCTAGTTTAGTCCAGGTCAGACGATATATGATCAGTGTTCGCGAATTATCAATGCAAACTGTACACTTGGATAATGTATTACAATTATACACGTTAAGCAGAATTAATAGGTTTTATAATAGTTTAATTTCTAAATTATGTAGTCATTTGGCGTTATTTATGCCTTAGCAATAGAAGTCATTATCTGAGCAAAATATAATATAAGACTTCAAAAAAACTTAAAGTGGTGAATAATACAATACTTATTTTAAAGTAACTTGAAATTTCAAAGAAACTTATAATTATTAAGATTTTTTTTTTATTTTTAGTGCTTGAATATCGCATAAATATAAAAAAAAATGAAGTCGATGTATAGCATATAGGTAAAGTATTACATAATACGTATCTGATAGCAATTATTTTAATAAGAAAAAATCGTTCTCGATAACAAATGTCTGTTAGTTTACATTTGGTGTCGGTGTGGCCTTGCCAGTGTATGCCTTATTTAAGTACATTTATCTTATCGTGACGTAACATTACAATATACCAATAACTTTACTAGCAACGATAGCAGGAAACATAGTTATATTATCGGTAAAATTAAATATTGCGCTAAACGGAGGTACATTGTATGTTATGTTATCCTAGTACTTTTCCTTCTCTGGGATTTTCCAGGGATCTTTTTCTACACTAACAAAGAGGGAAAAATTTTGTTTGTTCGTAAATAATAAACTCAGAAAGTACTCGAATATGAAGCTACATTATGAACGAGTAACATTGGTTGTATTCTATTAAATGTGACGCAGAATGTAGTAAGCAAGGTTAGATATAGGTAAATTAAATGGAATAAGGATTGAAACTAAGAGAATTAGTAATTACTGTAATAAATTTATAGATATAATATGTCTGGATCGTGTTTCCTCAATATAATTCTCTATAGTTACTATATCAAATATGTATGATTGTTCGAGTAAATATTTATCTGAGATCAATAAATGTAAGTATAGGTTTTGTTCGTTAAATATTACCTTAGCCTGGATTTTGTGAGCATTCTCCTTGTGGATCACTTGTTCTACGGCGGCCGGCACAAGGATGTCGCACTTCTCGTATAACATGTTTTCACCTTCATAGGCCTTCGCCCCCGGGAACCCGACGATAGTGCCGTTATCTATCCTGTAGTCTTCCAGAGCCTGAAAATGAAAATTTAATTTTTGTAAAATGTTAAATTAATAATAAAATATTTCATATCACATACGCCCTGTATGTTTGTTGAAATCGGAAATAGCGAAGGTATCACAACACGCAGACCCGAGACAATACCAGACCGGGAATCGAACCCAGGACTTAAAGGTGGCGACGCCTTGAAATCGGCGTGCGTGCCACTCGACCACGGACGTTGTCAAAAAGTGATGGTCGACGATTGATAATAGGGTATTTGACACTATTAAAAATCTGCTCAGAATCTGCAGACAAAACATCTTTATTTTTAACTAGTGGCCGCCAGCGACTTCGTCCGCGTTTTCCATTATTTATTCACTCCTAATAGTTGCAGCGTGATGTTATATAGCCTAAAGCCTTCCTCGATAAATGGTCTATTCAACACAAAAAGAATTTTTCAATTCGAACCAGTAGTTTTTTGTGATTAGCACGTCGAAACAAACAAACTCTTCAGCTTTAGAATATTAGTATAGATACAAAATGCTTAAAAAATCTACTTGGTCCCTGGCACTGAGATGGGATTCGAACCCATTTCCGAGGGACCAAGTGGATTGTTTAAGCATTTTGTATTAAGAATATTTTCAGTATAGCATTGTGAATGCGAAATGGATCAAATATAATAAAAACATGTTTAGCTTTAGAAAAATAATGAAAAGAAAATGCAACATTTTTAGTAATTCAACGAACGACGAAAGCGCCCTGTAATTGGTTGTCGTCGCAACCAATAACAGGTTCTGTTTACCGGCGTGTGACGTCACACGTAAACAGGTAGCTGTCATGTCAAAGCAGTATTATTATATTAGAGATACGCAAAATTTGTATTTAAACTTATTTGTCTTTTATCATAGGAAATACTTTGACAGCGTGTTTGTAATGTAACAAACAACCATGTAAAATAGTTTTCAGAACTATTTTTCTACTGTCATGACATCCATATTCTTTATTACTCAAGAAACTCGCACTCTAATGGAACGAGATACATTTACGAGTGTGTATTATTTATATCTAGAACTTTATAGGATTAGCTCGATGAACTTGAATCATAAAAGTAGAAGCGAATTTTTTTATTTATTCACTGATTGTTAAGGGAAAAATAATATTACCTTAACTTCAAAAAATGTTTGATAAGCTACAATGATGGATTGTTTCCGTGTTACTAGTTTGTAACACTATTCTCATTTTCGACAAATCTCTATCTGAAAATGAGTGATGTGATATCCTACTTATTTACAAGTAAATACAAATTTGTTGCTAACATCTAAACATCGCCACATAATTATAATAATAGTTGCGTCTGTCTGTTTGCTCTCCTACGATATTCAAAAAATTCCGAGTAGCTCGGTGGCGTAGTGGATAAGCGCCGCGGCCCGAGATCGTAGTCGTTAAGCAACTTTCGCAAGGGTCGGTCACGGGATGGGTGACCTAAAAATTATTATCTCGAGCTACTCCGTGCTTCGGAAGGCACATTAAGCCGTTGGTCCCGGCTGCATTTGCAGTCGTTAATACCCTCCAATCCGCATTGGGCCAGCGTGGAGGGTCATAGCCCATCCTCCTTAACCATCCATAAGGAAGGCCTGATGCCCCCCCCACTGGAGGACTGGACTGCACTGGACGTAAAAGGGCTGGTGATGTGTGATGTGATATTCAAAAATTTTAAGAAACCCAAAAATAAATGTTACGTTCGATAAAATTTGATATAAAGTTAAAGGCGTGGATAGAATAATGGCTGTTTTTCCAACGTATTAAAACATGTGAATTTATGCGGAAGGAGTTGCGTGTAAAAGCTGTTTAATAAATTTTGACACCGATAAGTATGATATCTATAACTAAGTATAATCTGGCATTTTTATATTTATCGTAGTTGGAAACCATAGATTTTATCTGTACGTTACTACGACGTGATAATATTAATGCTATCTATAATATTACTATTACTACATATTGTAAAAAGGTGCGATTTTTTTTAAGTAAACACAGATTTTTAAACTGACTTGAATTTTTACTGTGTACCTAAAAGCTGTACAATATTAATTCTTGACCGGTACCACAGTACCTACTGTTAATTTTTCTATAAAACGTATATAATTATCTGCAATTAATGTTAATCAACAACTAAATAAACTCACCTTGGGGTCGATACCGTCGGGGTTGTGTATGGCGCCGTCATGCTCGATGACGCCGATGCATGTGGCGCCCGCGCGGACGAGGTACCGGCACGTGTGCAAGCCTACGTTACCGAAGCCCTGAACTATGAACGTTTTACCGCCCCAACCGGGGGTTGTTCCTAAAACAAACAAAGTATAGTTTATATATACAATATCATGGGTATTGCCAGCTCTGAAAGAAAATTTTGCTGGCTGAAAGAAAATTTAATAATATGCAGAATATTTATAACAAATATTATTTTTAAACTCCATTAATATCCAATTTCCTGACAAAAGTTTACTTGTTTTCCTGATTTTGAAAGTTTTCCTGACAAAAGGTGACTTGTTTTGAGCATTTTGTTTGACTTAAAGCATTTTATTTTTCCGTGATACTTCGCTGTTTCAACTGTTGTTCTTCTGTTGTTTTATTTAAATTGTTATTTCTTGTATGCACAGTCTGCTTTTAATGTTTTGTTTTTTTTTTCCATTTAATGCAAGCAAAAAGACCGTCTTTTGTACGTACTTGTGTAAACATTTATGTGTCTATGTCATTTTCATTTTTGGGCAATAAAGAGTATTTATTGTTATTATTAATTATTTATTTTATAATACAAAATTCTTGAATTTATGTTACATTAAGTTAAAATTTTAGCATATCGCCAGAATAATTTATTCGAGATGCAAAGACACAAATCGCGTAAATTATGATGTCACCTGACATGTTCACCGATAAAGTTCACAAACTAAAACCACATGTTGTCAGGTTTTATTAAAATGAATTCTCGTTGTAACGGTTAAATCCCTCGTTAAATGCTGTTACTTGTATGTATTTGAATTACTACACAACAATAAAAATTGTATAGCGGCTTATTATTCTAAGCTCAGAAATGAGAAAATTCCATATAAATTTTACCTCTCTATTTCCCAGTTGCAAACGTTCATTAAAATTTTCATTAATTTAAAGTGACATTACCCATACAAATTTGACATTCGATTTGTGCTCAAAGGCGTCATTAAAACTTAATGGACGTTTGTGCAACTGACGGTGTTTCACCCCCCTATTGGGTTGAATTCCTTAAAATCCCTTCTTAGTGCTCACTTACGTCAAGAAAAGAACCTCTGTACCAAATTTCAAGTTACTAGGTACGGTAGTTTCGGCTGTGCGTTGATATATAAGTCAGTCAGGTTTGCCTTTTACATACATGATATAGATAGGTAAGAAAAAAATAAATATGTTTGTAAGAAATTAGTGCTGGCTCACCAATCATGCTCATGTAGTTGGCCTCGTTAATGAAATTCTCGAGACCGTGGAACACTCCTCTGCCGGTGGCGGACACTCTGCCGTGGATACCACCCTGGAATAAAGTTGTTTAATTAGTTCTTTTTACATACAACTTTCCACCAGCGGCTTCGCCAACGCGATACCTAAGGAACTGTTTATTTGAATATTAATTCATATCGGATATAATTACAATGATACATTGAATTTTACCTTTAGACCCTTTATTTGTTGTTTTTCGTGATAAAATATAGCCTATGGTCACCTTATATGACTTAGCTTCCCGTCGGCGAAAGAATTTTTAAAATCGGTGCAATAGTTTCGAAGCCTTTTTGTTGCAAACAAACAATCAAATGTTTCCTCTCTATAATGTTAGTAAACGTACAAAAATAAACTACATCATACGGGGGTGATATAGGCTTTGATTTACGCAGGCAAAGTAGCAAAAAACAGCTAGTAATTAAAAAAATATATACATACTACACAATATCATATGCATTGTTCATACCCTATATTAATTAACTAAAGAACTTGTATTATAAACAACTGAAATGACGAAGGTAGGTAAGGTAACACAACACTCAAATCAGTGACAATAGAAAAGCCTATATAGTCAACACACTTAAGACAATATAGCCTTGAGGTCCGAATGGTCATAAAATCAAATATAAATGTTGTAGTGCGTTCAAAATTTGTTTTATTTAATGAATAGTGCGCGTAAAAATACAATATTGAAAAGTTCAAATTCTATCGGCTGGGAATCGAATCGAAAATCAGAGATGCGATTTTTTTTTATTAAAAACCGGCGTGCGAGTCACGTGGTCGTCAAACAAGGTTATTTGTAAAACACATAATTATGTAAGAATGCCGGCCGGTCTGACGAAACTGATATACAATTCTCAAGTGGTAGGATATAAAATAAAATGAAATCATACATTCCACGATCAGAATGAATGAATACAGGTATACCATATAATATTTTCTGCTGTTGCAGAATCTCCAGAGCAAACTTAATGGTTAGGCAGTAAAAACACAACCTCTGTCAATCTTTCTGCGCCAGTATTTAGGGAAATGTTGGCAGTGCAAGACATATTATTTGGTTCATTTAATCTAGGCGATAGTATTTCTTTTTAATGACACAGGTATATAAGAAACTAGCTGATCCGGCGAACTTCGTACCGCCATATTTTATTTCTCTAATCGCAACTGAGGAAATAAAACCCTTCCGGTAAAATAAACACTTGCTTAAGAAACAATTAATTAGTACGTTTTATTCGTTTACATTCACGACATAAGCGAATAATTGAGATGATAACTATCCTATCCAGTAAGTTAGACCAAAATACGGGTACATGTGAAATTTGATTGAAATCAGATCAGTAGTTTTGGAGTTTATTGGCAACATACATCGTGACACAAAATTTTTATATATATAATAAGATATTGTTAAAGATATTGTTAAATTATTAAAGATGACAAAACTAGGTATGGTCGGTCAAGATAATGGTCTACCAGTTATGTCAAAAGTTTCTGTGGGATTTAATGATCACTAAGGTAGACTTTTCTAATGGAGTTTATATGCTCAATTGTGACATATTGTCTATTATTTGAGATGTCCGCCCTTTAAAGGAATTGTCACTGTCATCATATTATTGCAAAGAAAAATAGACCTTATTGTTTTAAGAATATCAAATAACCCAAATCGTAGGACGGTAGACCATATTTATGGGTGACCGTACATGACAATAATATTCAAGTCAACAATAATAAATCAGATTCGATCTGTAATCTCCATAATTGTCAGCTGTCAGCAATTGTTAGCGACAGTATCTTACCTGGTTGATCGGCTTGCCGGTGACGCAGGCATGGGCGTTGATGTCTTGGTAGCCGACGGTCTTAGCGTATGTGTCTGCGATCCATGACATCTCGCGTTCGCCTGTTCCCATGTCTGGGGCTGGTACGTCCACACCGGGCCCTAGGAGAAGACGATTAAAATAATCATTTGAATAGGCTTACTTTGAAAAAGAGAAGGGGTGACGACTAATTTTCGTTCGTTTGCCCGTCAGGTAGATTGTTTAAAAAAATATAACACGTATTTTTCTATTAAAATGTCACATGACGTCACGCTTTCGTACGTTTTCTACAAAACTGTGACGTAGTGAGCCCCCACTCCTCAACTTTAATACCTGTTATCTAAGCTATTTCTTGCCCATTATCTGACTGACGGTCTAAATAGATTTTTTTTTTAACCAGTCGTCATCCCTATTCAACTTGAACAAGAACAAAAAAGAAATATGATGATTTTTCACAATAAGTTCTTGAACTATATATATTTATTTATTCAGTTATTCATGGATTACCGTTCTAGGAAGAACCTAAGCTTAGAAGCTAAGTTTGGTGGTAAATCTAAAAAGACCAATGATGCTAATGGGATTCATTCTGCTTACATTAGTTTACATGATCGAGACGCTTATGGTTTAATCATTCACCATACCTACTATTATTAATGGCAAAGCATATGTTTGTCTTTCTTTCACGTCACAACAAAAAGTCGCTGCAGTGTTATGAGTTTGTGAAGATATTTAGGAGGCTGCAGAAACATAGGCTACTTGCACCAGCGACAAAATAATTTTTTAATACACAACTACAGCATGTACATTGCTAAGACTTCACGATGAATAGCTAAAGCCCACGTGTTATGGAGTATCTGAGACAACGAAGGTACCACATCACCCACACCCGAGACAATATAGAAAAGTCCATTTTCTACATTGACCTGACTTGAATATCAGATATGGCGACACCTTGAAACCGTCGAGCGAACCACTCTGCTAAGATGCCATGCCTACGAGGCCATGGGAAGAATCATTATGTTGCGTGTCTTATTCGAAAATGCGAACCCATAAATAGACGAGCAAGATTTATATTGAACTGAGTTAAAACTAAGAAAACAAATGCATGTTAACCTAGTTATTTGTTTGTGTATGTATAGTACAATACACTACACACTATAAGAATACTTATTTTGTGTATGATAATACTTAACGAGTTTCGATGTTCCGGATGACTGATCAAAAAAGCCAACTAACTGTTTCGTGGTTTGGAAAGAGTTCATAAGTTAAGCTCTAAGCACTCCTTTGTTACTCGTACCTGTACTATTGATCTTATTACACACTACATTATTATCATTCAATGTAATTAAAAAACAAAGTTTAGCGTCGGAGTCAATTTACGCTAAGACTGCACTTTGTATTAGTCAAAATTCATATTATTAAATGGAGACTTAGGAAAGGTTAACCTAGTACGAGGTTCTACGGGAGTAATATTTACTCCTAGAAGGTTTGCTTATTCTCTGTATAATATGAATTTGGACTAAAACTAAAATTGCAATTTTAGCGAAAATATACTCTGACGCTAAATCTTGTTTATTAATAGCACTGATTAGGTACAATTTTGATCAAAGTCAATGTACATTTAAGTTGCTAGTCTTTAAAAAAGACCAATATTTTTCCACGATGTCCCAAGTTGTAGACATTCCATCTTTTTAAAGTAAGTTTTAAATATATAGCAATATCTAATGATCCAATTTTAAATAAAACATTTCCTATTTTTACCTCACAGGTATAGGCGTCATTGTCTTGTAAACGAATTAAACCTTTTGCTACAAATCGAGGCAACCCAACCATGACAGGACCTGCCCCGAGGGGCAAGGTCAAACATGATTGGTGTACCTGATAAATCCCGCTGCAGTGTACCTCACGCAGATGAATGGAATGGATCCGGTATCTCCTACAAGGCGGGCTCGAAATGGGTCTCTTTCATTTTATTCCATTCTTTGCGATTAAGGGCTTTTATTCCATTGTATAAAAAAAAACAAGTAAAATACATGAATAATTTTTTTTAAGATAAATCAATTCATTTTATAAAATGTTTAAGCTTTTGTTCTAGTTCATTCAGCGGACTGTTTTGAACTTTGAGACTGTTCGGTATTTTAGAATGTTCAATTGGATTTTCATGAACAAAAGTGATTGTTGGTGGTGTATTTTTTTTTTCATTGTATTGATCATTAGAGTTGTTGGCGTCGCGCCAGGCTGCTCGTACAAACAGGTGACTAAAATTCGTCTCTACTTTTATACATGCTTGAAATACAACGTAAGGCTAGTATTATTTAACAGCTGATGTTGCGTGTTTCGTTCTCAATTGCGTGTCATGCTACGCCATGGGACAGACGAGAAAAAAACGTGTTTCCGTGTGAGGAGGATGCGTTTTTTGTGAGACTTTACTTTAGCACTTTGTAGATTGTTGTAATATGTATACTCATGCCATATTAAGTAGACTGAACTAAGCAGACAGGACAGGACACCGCAAAACTTTAAGGTTTCCTTGTAAACTTCGGAATTTCAATAACGTCCTTTAATTTTGAAATCAGTAAAAATTAAGATGCCGGTACAAATAAAAAATCGGCACCGTGTAACTACGACTTATATCACTATAAAACATTTTTAAAAATAGCACTAATTATAGTATAAGCTCAATTTAACGATCTATATTTAGAGGACGTACACTCGATCTCTACGTAAAGCGCAGTAATAAAGATAGAGTGCATTTTGTGGTCACAGCTGATTGGAAGAAATTATAACATGAAAATATACTCAACTACGCCGACCTCATTTAGCATTTGAAATGGAGCACGAAGTAATTAAAATTCATTATTGAAATGAAAATTATTTATTTAGTCTAGGTCAGGTATATTCATTGACCAGCAACTCGGGCCTTTAAAGAAATATTCACAGTATCAAAAATCACATTTAAACTTCTTTTTGTTAAATTTAATTTTATTATTAATTTAATATACATAATTTTCGTTGAATATATTTTTATTGAGGCCTAATTAATTTGACAACGCAGCGGAAATGTGTTTGTGGACCCTTTAAAAAAGTTGAGTACGACTGGTCTAGGCTGTCCATTAATACTAGTACCTACTAGTAGAGTCAGACTACCTATTCTTGTGAATGAAAAGCTCTTATTTAATATTATTGCTTATCATATAATACGAATGGGACTGATCCAGGCCCGGCCAGTCCATAGAGGCAAACTAACTGCTTAGGGCGCTTGTAGCTGAGGGGCGGCATGGCATGCCAAACAGAAAGTTTGCTCAATTATTCGATCCTTAAAATACAGTACCTTAAAAAAATACTTTTCTTTTCTTTGAACATGAGTCCATGACAGCTGTGTCACTGGCAAAAGAAAACTATTTTATTGGTGGTGTATATTAAATTTTTTATTTTGTTGAAATTTGTTTATAAGCGTTGTTCGTACGTTTTGCCTAAGGCCCCAAATTTTATTGAGCTATCGCTGGACTGACCCTATTTAAGTATAGTGTTCCATAAATTTTCTTGCTTATGTTTTTATCGAATGCTGTAATCAATACGTTAATTGAATACTGCTGATTGTAGAAGTAGAAATTAGGATTTTAATTAGAGTTCGTATAATACCTGGTGTTAATCAGTTTTGAATACTAATTGTGACGGAACAATGACTGTTATCAGTTGTTATTGCTTAAGGCTTCAAGGATGTTAAGGCTCAGGCAGGGGGTGTGCAAAATATGGTCCGCTACAACTTTTCCCCGTGAAGATGCGGAAAAACTGAAGTATAATAAAGAGATTTTTTAAATATTATCATCATCCTAGTTTTAACCAGCTAACAACGAAATTATTAAGCAAAATTGAGCCGTTCGTTGTTCAATAAGGGCACGACCAAAATGCTAGGGCTGAATATAGAAGTTGGTTATTATTGATTTGTAATTTTAATTATACTTAGATTTATAGTATATATTTAATTGGTTCAGCCACCTTATTCTGTAACTCTGAAGTTAACCGAAATAAATTCTTCAAAGAGCTCTGTGAATAAGCAATCATACGAATAAGTGATTTTGCCACATTGGAATTGTTTACTTTTTACTGTGATTACGACTTTAAGTTGTCAGTTGAGTTAGCGAATAGGCCCGCTGGCTGATTCCAGAAAACTTGTTTTAGTTTTGTTCCCCTTTGAAAATAATCCCACACCATACCTATGGAATTTCTTTGAGTATATAAAATATACTGTTATGATAATGTAGTCTGTAAGTGTAAGATTCATCTACCTGTCATTTCCGTTTAAAAGTTTTCGACTGAAGAGATAATGGTTATACAAACTATTGCAACATTTAATTGACAGCTTGAAAGATTATTATAAAAAGTATTTAAGTCTATTATTCGGTATATGTCATATACATTTTAATACTAATGCAGTCTTTTCATGACGATATTAGAATTGAAGGTTCTACCGTGTCACGGCGGCACGCAAATGCAATATCTTTGGGTTATTGACCAGCAATTACTGTCATTGACCGAGTGATTCTTAGAAGGCCAAATCATTGCGAACGCATCACAATGTATTATTATTTCTTTATTATTTACAGAAACAGGCAACACAGACCCGTAATTTGCAAATTAATAAACAATAACCGAATATAATGTAATAAAAGTTAAGAAACTTATAAAACATGTATCCATGTGCTTTTGATTTTGAACAACTTACTGCATAACAACTTATACGATGTAGAAATCTACATAACTCTAATATTTTGGTACAAAAAAGTTTTGGAATATTATACTTTTAATATAACCGTGTTTAATAGTGAAGGTATAGTAGGTATGTGATAGCATTTTTTATTATCTCTATTATAATATCTCTAGTAGTGGCGATAAACTATCTGTTTTTTGGTAGGTTGTGGTACGATCCAATGTCTTTAATATTCTATCTATATATTCAAATCTTAACTTTATTACCGATAACAGTTATGATCAGATAAATATAGATTTTACACGAATAGTGTACCTACCTTTTTAATTTTTTTTTTTATTTTGTTAAAAGAAAAACAAAAAAATCTGAAGGTCTATACTATTCGATAATCGAAATATAGTCTATTGTCGAAACGCGAATACGACTCCAAAGAATTTTGATTCGCCGATAATCTTAATGAATATGCATTTAACAAAATTATCAGAAAGCTTCGACATTTAGTATTTAGTTTTAATATAGATAGGTTATGATGATATTGACATGATGTTATGAGAAGCTTTGTAAAGTTTTGTGGGTACACATAATAGGGAACCTAAAATATTTATTATACCTTAAAAATTTAAGAATTTAGATTATACCTTTTAACCATTAACTATAAAGAAACTTAAGAAAACTGTATTTTATCGTGTTAATAATATAATGCAATGAGGTTTTGCTCAAGGGCGTCGCCAAGAGAGAGGGGGAGTGATAGAGATTTTAAAAAAGTTGCCTAATGTAAAGCGTCCTAAGTTCAAAGTCTGACTTAGGTTGCTCATTTATTTAACTCACCAATTTTTCCAGTTACTCTCTGCTCTATGCTATTGTTAAAGCGGGAGAAGGGGTATAGTAAACATTCAAACCCCCAAAATATTTTTATTCTATTTTTCAAACAAACGTAAGAATTTATTGACAACTTTAATTTATTCTACAGTCAAGAGCTCGTTTAACCTTACAAGTTGAATTCTGTACTGTTGTTATTAAGGCTCATACTATAAGTAAAAAGCTTCATGTGCTTTCGACTTTACCTAGAATTCATATATTCTTGCCCCCCCCCCCCCACCCCAGGTCATCGGCTAGCGACGCCCCTAGTTTTGCTCATAAGGTTTCTATTTGAAAACAATCTCGCGTTAATTTTTCTAGTCTACTTAGCTCACTGTAATAGGCTAATAAAGGTTTAAGAACTGATAATTAAGTTAAGTAGGCACGACTTTTCAATCAGCTTCTTGATGCTAATCGAATCGATAAATAAATTGTTATCAACATTATTTAAGCACCTACTTAGTGTAAATGTTGCACTGTACAGATACAGCAACATTTCAGATTACCACAATGGCAAAAATCCTCCTGAATTCAAGTGACTAATTTCAAATTATGTATAATATGCATAATTAAAAAAAAACAAATAATAGGTCAAGATTTAATTGAAGCAAAACGAGAATTTCTCAAATACGAGTGGAGACAGTAAACGAAAATAAATACATTTTTTTCTGGTAGTGTTTTTATTAACTATTACCGATAATCACACTTTTATGCTGATTATATTAATAATATTGCTTTAATTAATTATGAAAAATCAAATATTTTATACAAATATTTTTTAGATATATTTCATGAAGTAAATTGTCTACATCCCTAATGTCCTAACAGATAGAAATTACAAAATTCTTTATCCTTTTTTTCTTGTAATTACAGGACATAATAAAACCGGGACATGTCTTTGCAAAATAAAACGTTTTGTAACTCTAGTATGACCTAATGTTTTATTGAATGTACTTTACAAACAACGTTACTTATTTATTAAATAATAAAATGACATCAGCGTTTCGAATTCCCATTAACAAATGATAAGCTTATCTCATTTTCTGGTTCCGTAGTATCTATGGTAGTAACGGTGGGCGGATAAAGTTGCCGATTTCAATCATTTTGTATCATTACATTTTGTAGGTATTCATAGTTTTCTTATCATTACCGCAGATAGTTTTATCGACCATATAAAACTGTTGCGTACCTACTATTTTCAATAATCATACTATTATAATAACCAAACTAAGTATTGGTGTTTACTACGCATACAATACTAAACATAGAATTAAGCATAGAAACTAATTCATTCCTGTTCCAATGTTTCAAAATATATTCTTATATTGAAGCAAACTAAATCTATGAAGATTTTTGGCCTTTGTCACTTCATTAGCAACAAGAAATGGCAAGGGTTTTGCAAGTGTGCTGTGGCATCCTTTATGTATAATGTAGTTTCCTTGGATAGTATTATTACGATTTAGATGAAGTAAAATTTGAAAATACACTCTGGGAATGATCAATGTGGTTACATACGTTTAGCTATCATGTAACACATGTGAGAAAATTCTTGTCTTATAGGCAGACGGAAGTCGATTACAGATTCTACAATGGGCGGTGAAAAGTTCAATAAAGTTTAGAGGAACAGGAATAGGCAAAAAGCCAAACTCATGTAGGATCTCAATATTTCTCTAGAGGCAAGATCTTAAAAGTTAGTTCTTATGCGAAAATATATGTCTGGGACGAAAGACAAAACTGGGCCTAAAAACCGATTTGTAAGTTCTCTGCGTACTCTATTCTTCAGTATTTCGGATATGTAGCCAAAATTGATCCTAATAACTTGGAGATATTCGTTAGTCATGCACGTAAATATCAACGAAAGCGTTAAATATGTTCTCCAAAACGATAGAGCAATGTCGTAAAGAAGTTTGCTAATCAAATTTCTATCAGGATGGCTGCGTGGAGAACTGCTTGGAGAGCTGGCTTAGGTACACTATGCGGTTGCTACTGTCACAAACCTTAGTCAGCGATGCGGTGGACGAAAAAGGAAGGAGAATCATAACGGCACAATACCGGACTGCAAAAAGTATTGCACAGTTGTATGTGCGACTCTTTCCTAAGGATATTTGCTGTGACTTACCAATGAATCCTTTCTTGGCTAGTTCGAGTGTGAAACGACGGGTGATCTTCTCGAGCTCGTGTTCGGAGTACTCCTTGGGGTTGATTTTGATGCCGGCCTTGGCTCCGCCGAATGGAACGTCGACGCATGCGCATTTGAATGTCATCAGAGCAGATAGGGCTTTTACTTCGTCCCTGGTCACGTCCGTCGAGAAACGAATACCTGAAGATAAGAAATTATAATTAATGTAAGGATAGCAAAACAGATGCCCTTTTATGCTTATTATTGACTTACAAAAACATCGAATATCAACTGAGTCTTTATCATTTTTTTAAGCCCCACGCAAAAAGAGGGGTGTTGTAAGTTTGATATGTCTGTCGGAACGGATGAAGCGATTTCAATTTAGTTTTTTTTGTTGTTGTATTAAAAGTGACTTGTGTGCGAGTATTCTTGGATATGTTTGATGAAAATCGGTGGAGCCGTTTAAAAGTTGTTGTAGCTTAAAGTGAGGAAGAATAACCGATGTCTGCAAATATAATCGAGAGGGTCTCAAATGAAAACACACTGAAAGAGAATATTGATGACTAATAGAGAATGTTCTTAGCTTCGGTTGATAAGAAAAATATTATATTAAAGAGTTGAATACTAATACGGAGTAATGTTTTAACAATTAACGGAAATAGTTATAGAAACAAAAATATAACATTTGAAAATTTTCAACAAGAATCTACATTATAAGTTTACCTATAAAATGTATAAAATAAAAAAAAAATATTTAAAAACCGCGACATGAAAACCTAAGTTCCCTTTAAAAAGTAAAAAATAATAAAAGGAACTCAAACTTTAATCGTTAGTTTTGGACGGGACCGCTCCAAATCTAACAATTTAATATATTCCCCCAACGCGACGTAAACTACTTTAAGATTAAGTTTAATTTATTACTTCTTTACTTATGTTTAGACTAAGCTTGTTACTTTTTTCGGGGTTAATAAGTACCTAAACATAATTAATGATGAAATATTTTACAGTTAGATGTATGAAGTAGATATATACCTCTTAGTGATTTATATCTGTGGCAATTTAATTCGCAGTAGGGTTATGTAAACATCCCGATAAGGAATATTTTATCGAAGTGGTTGCTATATTCGCGATTATCAATTCTATTTTTTTCACATTTCACAAAGAAGATAAGTTTTCTTAAAATTTATTTCATATAGTAAGCAACGTACGACAATATTTCACGTTCAGATTTTTTTTTATCAAACTTCACTTTGTAAACGTGAAGAAAAATGTTGGTTAGCCATTCAATTCGATCTCATTAGTTCCGTGTAATGTGGTAAATGTACATCTAAGGTAGTTCTAATAAACTACATATGTAGGTATCTATTACAGCAAAAAGTAACTAACTATTTTGTCGTTGATTTAAAGTTCAATTTAAGTTCGGAAAAATCTAAAGATTTTTTATATTACAGATTTAAAAAATATAACACAAACTGATATAATATTTGTTATTAATAAAATTATATATTACGAGTATATTACATAAATTATTATTACATCTAACTATTTGCTATTTTAACTTATTATGCCAAATTAGCAAGTTAAAAATAAACTTCAATCATAGTTTTTTTTTTATATTAGAGTTTCTTAATTAAAGTAGAATAATATGGATAATCTATGTCAATATTTTATATAAGAACGATCGATTGTTTGCATCAAATAGGCTCCGAAACTAGTAGATCTGTTTGAAAAATTCTTTCAACTACGGGAAACTTCATCATACCCGGCGATCTCGAATACAACTGGTATTATTTAAAAGACCCCATTATTTTAGGAATATAGAAAAACGTCGGAGGATGGATGTCCGAAGAAATGGTGTTCTAAAATGTACTGTGTAAGCGTAGATTTTGTTATATTTTATTGCTATAGAAACAACAGAAGGTCAATTACCTATATCACATTGTATATATAATAAGATAGTAACATTTTTAGATATAAATTTTTTTTATCAATCTGTCCAATATTTTATGAAAAATATTTAAAACTACTATATCTACGATCTGCGAATTGAGACACGTGAAAAATTGTCCACGTAACACTAAGTCATGGCTTAATTTTTCTAGATATTTATATATCTTTGCTAGGTATAGCATAGTTATCTAAAGTGCATTACTTGTATGGGAACGGTGATTTGGTTTTATAATACTTATCCCAAACAAGGTTTTTCCGGTAAGAGAAAATAATTATGGACATTATTCAGAACACACCAAAATCTGAAACTACCGCTATAAAAATTATATATATATTTACCTCGATACAATAAATTATATATAATAAAAAATATATTATGGCAGATAAGAACGCGGTACTCCAGCACCTTAAACTTGAACTTTGAAAGTATTTTTCTTCAGACAAAAATATCTAATAATTGATCTCAATTCGTTCATGGAAAATACAATTAAGTATAGTCTTCCTTTTAGTCGATTTATACTGACGAATTCCATGAACCACGAAAAACTAAGAAAAACGCTCGTAAACAAGTTTCTTTAAATACAGTGCCCCGTGATGTTTTTTAGTCTTACAGAGTCTACTACATACTTTCCAGTACCTAACCTAAACTAATTCGTGTTTCCCTGATTATCGAGTTATCGCAAATTATCTATCTTTGCTGAGACGAATAGACTAAGCACACAATATATGCCATTTGTCATATGGTAACAGCTTTTATAAATAAGGAAAGGATTAAATTGTTACGTAACACTGACGTCATAGCCACGCCTCCGTTGCCAGCTCTATTTGTATGTGTGAACTTTTTATCTTTGCTGTTGGACAATCACGTAGGTCCTACTTATATATATATTCTGCTTCGTAGTACACGAAGCAGTGATGAATATGAAATGTTAGCATGATATTTTTAGCTGAACGTTACGAAATGTTTTACGAACAGCGGGTGTGTCGGATGATCTATGTATTTTTGATGTTGTAGGTCTCGAGAAATAATGCTTGAACTAGAACCGAAGGGTAACCTAGAGGTTTACCTCTAGTTGCATCAAAATAACCTTCAAACGTGTTTCAAAATTTATGGTAGCTTTTGAGTTAAGTTTTCATGAATGATCGCTATACTTATCGACACTAAATCTATTATTGTGGTACATTAAGCTGGTCGTATAATAACCAACAATACATTAAATAGGTGGGATGTTGTGAGAACAATGGCTGATTTTAATAAAAAAAGTTTAAGACATGTATATTATTGACGTAGTGTTCAAACGTACCTTACTTAGCCATGCATGACAGACTACAGAATAGCATTAGCATTGAATCTAGATTTTTTCTCTTACTAAAAGGTAACAGCTTCGAATATATTAGTCATGTGAACAGAATGACAATTATTAATTCCGGTCTATTATTACTTTGAGGTCAGTCAAAAAAGGGAAATTAGGGAGTTGTTACAGTTAAAACTATGAAAAAGTCAGTCACTTACACTAACTTTGAAAACTTGCATTTTTATCTGACTTAAAAGTTATAATTTTTATCAAACGAAAACAGCATAATGTATCTCAAATTGTTAAATAATCTAGATGGTATGCTGACGCTAATGGATATGAATAAAGCCGAATAGGTGCGAAAATTGAATTAGCGCAAGATTATTGTACGAAAACAAGACTGTCCATATTTTGCGCCCGCAAACATTCTATTTATTAAAGCGGTAGATTTCGTCTACAGCCTTTACTGCTTCTTCTTTGCCTTCTTTTCTTTGCTTTGGTCCCAGTATATATGACTTTGTTATAAATCGCACATTCAATAGCTTTTGTTTTGCAGTGTTTAAACTTGGAGCCTCCACAGCTTGTTGCTTGTATTGAATTAAGGAATTCCCACTATGCATGTCGGCAATTTTTAAGTTGAAATTGTTATTGATCGTTTTTGAAGTGAGAGTAGATATTTTGCAACGACATAGCAAAGTGTACTGTATGTTTCGCTTCCCTACATTGTGCATTGTAGTTGTAGTTGATTCTAGAAGAGCTTTTATCTTGTCTTCCCTAATAATAAATCTCCAAAAAGCATTTCCCTATTTTTTTTAATTTTTCAATTCTCACGACAACTATTCAATTTTTCTTTTTATGTTTATGCGAAAAAAGGAAATGCATATCATTTTTATTCATTAGAAAAACTTATCACAATTAATGCTGTAAATATTTTGTGAAAAAGAAAATAGGTGCAAAACCGCAATATCTTTTCCTATCCTGCCTACCTAAGCATCTAATGATCTTCTTTACTTTACGAGTTATTAAAATAAATCAATCATTAACTTCGTGACAGAAAAAAGGAAGTCGAATACAGGGAACTAATAAGACGAATAGGAACTAATAAGCTCATTCAGTAGATAATAAATAGATAAGACGTCGTACGATTAAATTTGATCTCATTTTCGATATAAAGTACATTTTAATAATACCATTTGGTAAATGATACCAATCGAAAATCTATTTGGACAAGTGTGAGCCGGACTACTATCACGTTTTGTTTTTTTTTTATATTTGTTAGAGCGGCAACATAAATACATCATGTGTGTAATATTCAACTGCCTAATTATTATCACGGTTTCTGGTGACAGACGGATAGACTTTTTTTTACTTTTCCAATTTACAAAAAGAAGTGAAAACTAATACTTCACCCCTACGATTCTGTAAAACCCAAACCCGAATTCGAATTAACTCAGGTGTTCGAATTCATTTCAAAAAAACCGGCATCCGCTCACCAACCTTGAATTAGTAATAATAAATTCGTTTCGTGGCATAAGTGAAGTGAGTTTCGAAATGTCATAGGAATATAATATCTGAGACACGTGTATTCAATCAATTTTGTTTTGTATTTTTATTTAAAAAAAATGGAATCAATAGAATAGGGATGACGACTGGTTAAAAAAATTTATGTAATTCTATTTAGTCCGTCAGTCAGATAATAGAAAAATATTAGAAACGTATTTTTTTTTACTTCAATTTAACAAGAAATAGCTTAGATATCAAGCGTTAAAGTTGAGGAGTGGGGGCTCACTACGTCACAGTTGAGGAGAAAACGTACCATAACGTGACGTCATGCGTAATTTTATGATTATGAAAAAAATAAAAAAATACGTGTTTAATATTTTTTAACACTCTCCCTGACGGACAAAAAAATTAGTCGTCATCCCTATTTCTACAATAAATGACGTGAATTTGGACACATGAATGAATTCGAATTCGGGTCTGGATTTTTGCAGGGCTGATCTAGAATCTTCAATTTTAATCTTTGTGTAAGTTATTTGTTTTGCGTATTTGAAACAGTTTTTTTGTAAACACTGTAAAACAACAAGCATTTTAATTGCTCTTGATGGAAACGAGTTTTATGTTACCGGAATTTGTCATCCGCTGTAATTGATGGTACTTACTCTGTCTACTTTAAAACTGGGTGCCACTTATATATGACGAAAGACAACAATTACCTACCAATGTTTCATTTAATTATAGAAATCCTACTTGCTTAAGTAGACAGATGAACTCTTTATTGCTCACATACAAATGAAAAGTTTACAGTAAATTTCTTAATTCTAGTGGGCAAAGGCGGTCTTACCGCTAAAAGCTCTCTTCTAAACAACCCTTGTGTTAAGGGACAGCTGTCAGAAGGATGTGGTAGTGTGCCAACATTAACAAAAGAATTGTAAAATATTATCCTATTACAAAGATATTACTATTATACATACTACTAATATGCATTAACTATAAACTACATGTTCTACGTATACATAATAAATCTATCCGTTTTTGTACAAGCTAAGATTTATCCAGTAGGTATTCGTGAATGTCTTTCTCAAAAACATCAACAGATTGCCTGTCGGATATCAAACGGCAACTTATTCCACAGTCTGGCAGCCTTAATAGTGAATGACCCGTGGTAGTAAACTGATTAAGTAAAAGGAATTTCCAGCATACCATCAACTCCGAACGTAAACTGTGGATGTGGTTTGCACCCAAAACTGAAAACGCTCCTTAAGGTAAACTGGAGTGCGAAGGTCGTAAAGAATTTTGTAGAGTGATCCTAACGTGTGCTACTCCCGGCGTAGTCGAATAGAAAGCCATTTGAGCTTACGTCTGGACTGGGATGCATGGTCGAACTTACACAAGCCATAAAATTTATTGCTAATATTTAATAAATCTGATACACAAATTTTGAAGTCGTTGAAGTTTGTTGAGCAGCTCCTCGCCGAGGTAAACGTGGTTATTTGGATATACATATTATACCTTATTTAGTTTCATTGTTTGTCTAAATAGGCGATTTAAATTTAGAATAAACTTTTTTCTTTTTATAGCTTTTCATGACAGTTCAAGATTTTTTTATAGTTTACGCATATCTCATAATTTAAGATTTGTGAAATTCCACTAAAACATGAAGTTAACACGGTGATGGATGACCTAAAATAAGGATTCAATGAACCATAGGTACCTACTAAGTGTAATTTCCAAAGATAAAAAAAAATAAAGTTTAAAAGCAACTTAAAAATGGCCCTCATTGACGTGTTTGACGTATCTAATTCAAAAACTTGGCGCTTCAGCGGATTAGGTTCCTATGAATATTAATTGAGTGTCATTCTTTGATATTTACGTTAACATTTAATAAGTTGGTATTATGTCTTGAAAAACAAGTTCATTATAATGTGAGCAGATTTTCTTGTCTAATCCTGTGTCATAATACGTAACATTCTAGTTTTACTTCATCACACAGATAATTATGGGTAGGTACCTAATATTAAATAGCATTATTAAATTTTCTTATATATTATCAGTTCCGGATGTCAGAACGACAAATAAGCAGGTAGCAAAATAGGTTAGACTCTTTAATAATTTGATTTTAAATTTAGTTTTAATCACCTCAATCAATATGTAAAATATTTATTTTTACGGTAATTGACTGTAGTTTTTATAACGAATACATACGTAATATATTTTTTTTTAAAGCAATGAAAATTTGTTATGTGTTACGTAATAATTTACTTCATTAAATTGCAAATCTTACTGCTTGTACAAAAACAATTTATGCAACACAAATTAGGATATAAATTAATCAATTTTAGTTAGTCAATGCATAACCTTATTAGGTAGCCAAATTTGAAAAGAGTGTATTGTTGATAATAAACGTATCCTATTTATTTTGCAAAAAATTACATTTGTAGCTTCAAATTTTGCCATTTGTACAATACGTAACAATACGGACGGCGACATCACGTGTCTCACGGGCTATAAATAAAATAATATCCTATTTATCAAGTTCTATTGGTTCGTTTCATCAATTCCATTGTTTCTTAAACAAACTTAAGAAATAATCGGAATTGAACTTACCTCCTTTAGTGGGGGTTCTGTGTGAGGAATGTTGAGCTCTGTATCCGAGGATCATTTCGTAGTCGCCAGAATCACGCCTTAGTGGAAATTGGATTTCAATTATATGGTCACAAGGCTGCATCATGTTCAGTATACCTGTAACCTTCTTTTTCTTTTCTTCAATAGAAACTCTCGACTTCATGTCTTCCACAAGTTTGTCTTCTATTACCTGGCAGGCTCTATGGAAGAAATACTCAACCATGTCGAAGAATCTTGGATTTGCACTGGTCGGAATGTCTTTGAGCCTGTCTGGTATTTCATGGCTCGCATATGTACGGCAACAAACGTTCACAGCAGCAGGCGTGATTCTGATCATATTATTGACTGCCTCATTTTGGATTGAATTTTTCAATGGCGGAACCACAGTTTTGGCTATGTTCTTTAGATGCAACATCTTTGTGTCTTATTAAGTACTCTAATTTAGTCGGGTTAGGTATCGGGTCGCCCTACGTTAAAGTTAAAATACACAAATTATAAAGTGTAATGATAAATTGCAGTGACGACCCGCCCCGACGGAATCCGACTCACTGAAAGAAGAGGCAGATGGCAAAAAATAAAAGGGCCTCAGCTCGCGATGCGGATTTTTTGTCTCATTCGGTATTATTGCTGGCGATAAGGATGGTTGGTCGACCCACGTGAAGTTAGACAAGAGGTATCGGTGAGTTTTCGCAATTGAGTTAATAATCATAAAACAAAACATTTGTTACATAATGTATGCATTGAAAATTAAATATTCCTTTAATTAGTTACATAAAAAATGTAAGTAATCGTTGAACTATATGATTTCAATAAATTAAAGTCGACGTTAGTTTCTAGGTTAGAATATAGTTCGGTCGTAAGCAACAAATTTTGGTCATCTTTTGTTTAACTCGACATTATACAAAAGATGACCTAACTTTGTTTCTTAATATATACGAGTCGGGTCGGAAATCAGTGAAAATAATAGATTTCAAATGTTTATTCATATAAAAAGAATTATTGTTGTACATGCAATTACATATCAGAGATTACAGACGAATAACCTAAAGTAGTTTATGTTGTCTGGATAAAATAACTATAAAGTGTGGCTAACCTTAAAAATAAAATTCGTAATTAATAATTTTTGTTTTGAATAGTCCAAATTCTTTTCTTATGTTCATAAGGTATCAAAATAAATTAAAAAATTAGTTTAAAAAATATTCTTTCCAATGTTTATTTTTTGTGGTGTTGCTATACTCAATGCATACATTTTATTCCGACTACAACAGTACACAACTGTCAATGGTCAACGTCACAAGAAAGGGAGATTGCTATTTCTTTTCGCTTTCCCAGTAAGTAAATAAAAACATTACTAACAGTACACATGTAACTAGACGTGAAAGAGATTTTGATCGCTGTGTTTTATTGCGTACTTAGCTATAATTAGAAATATCAATGATTTGCATTTCATCTGCGATCACAACGGCGTCGTGCAGTCCTATTGGAGACGGCCAGTAGTTAAGTAAAAGAAATTCGTGAAAAGTAAATGTACGTATTTGTTCGTTTAAGTTTTAAACATAATTCCATTGTGTTGTTATTTAAAATTTAATTTTTGAATTACATAATTTTAGAATGACCGCTTTTGAAGAAGATAGTATAGATAACGTCGATTGTTTACCTGATGAAATTTTGATTTACATATTCAAATATTTATCTGTGGACTCTCTTCTCACCTGTGAGCAAGTGTGTTTGCGGTGGAGAAAACTGGTGCAAGACTCGTCCATATGGAGACGTAAACTCATTGTATATTCTGGAAAACCGGGCCAAAGCGAAGTCAGCGAAAAGAATCTCGAGATCATCAGAACACATAGCAAATGCATACATCAATTGAAGTTACAATACGTCTACAGTTACCCATTCATCAAGTCTTTGATAGAAAAGTGTGATCATTTAATGTCTCTAGAATTGGTGATGTGCAGGATTGGAAAGGAATTTGAAGTTGATATCAAAAGATGGCCACATTTAAAGAAGTTGAATTTGAAGAATTCTCTTCTTGTTAGCAATATTGATTTATTACTAGAGTATGATCAGATTAAAGAACTCAATTATTTGGCATTATCAGATTTTGGACTGTCAGCTGTGAACTTTAATACGTTACTGACCTGCATGAATCTTACTCACATATTAATTGAGAAAATCAGAAATCTTAACATAGAATGTATTACTGAATTGATTTTGTCCAAACAAAATGTTTTAGAAACGTTACACATTTATGGGGGCGATGCTGTCGACGACAAATGTTTGGAGTTGCTATCAAAATGTCCGTCGTTGAAAGATTTAGCCATAATCCGTTGTGAAACTCTTACTGATGAAGGATTAGTTAAACTGGCAAACTTAAAAAGAATCGAACATTTACAGATATGGAACAATGTTAATTTTACGGAAATCAACTTATTAACAACTCTCGGTAGTGACAATTTGATAAAATTGCAGAGTCTCAGCTTATCTAGAATAGGGAATATTTCACCCGTCATTGTCGACGTTATTTCAGAGTATTATAAAAATTTAAAATTTCTGGCAGTGTACCAATGCCCTCGAATTGTTAGCACAGATTATGAGAAACAATTGAAGTCTAAATTTAGGAATATTGATGTTGTATTATATTAAACGGTTTGTGCATTTGTTTGTTGATTTAGATACTTTTTAGTACAATTAATCTATATATATAAAAATGAATCGCAAAATGTGTTGGTAAGCGCATAACTCAACAACGCCTCGACCAATTTGGCCAAATCTTTTTTTAAAATGTTCGTTGAAGTTCAAGGATGGTTTTTACGGCGAGAAAAATTAGAATTATTGCTGGAAAAACCCTAAAAATAGCCCTTTTCTTTTTCCCATACAAATGATTTGTAACTAAAACGTAGTCAATTTGAGCTTTATTGCTATGGTATAAAGTTCATATTAAATTACAAGCACTCACTGTTGTCTAAGCAATGTAGGTGTGTTCCTAACGTCAAAGATCATATCTATCAAAACAATGTGCGTGTGTGCGTTGGAGCACAGAATACATAGTTGGAGGAGTTTAATGTCGCGTTCCGAAACTCGCGTTTCTTTTGTATTAGTTTCGGCACGCGAGATAAAATGCATCAGTTTCCACGTCATTACATGTATTGCCGGAACATTGATGAAAATACGCTCTGTAGTAGCAAAGCTGTTGGGTCCTAGATAGCTCATTGGTTAGAGCAGTCCCTGGATCGCGAATGGGTTCGAGTCCCATTCCGGGGTACAGGTAGATGGATTCTTCCAGCATTTTTCCTTGAGAATGTTTATATATTTTTTTAATTCGAATAGTTTACGAGAAAAATTAGAATTATTGCTGGAAAAACCCTAAAAATAGCCCTTTTCTTTTTCCCATACAAATGATTTGTAACTAAAACGTAGTCAATTTGAGCTTTATTGCTATGGTATAAAGTTCATATTAAATTACAAGCACTCACTGTTGTCTAAGCAATGTAGGTGTGTTCCTAACGTCAAAGATCATATCTATCAAAACAATGTGCGTGTGTGCGTTGGAGCACAGAATACATAGTTGGAGGAGTTTAATGTCGCGTTCCGAAACTCGCGTTTCTTTTGTATTAGTTTCGGCACGCGAGATAAAATGCATCAGTTTCCACGTCATTACATGTATTGCCGGAACATTGATGAAAATACGCTCTGTAGTAGCAAAGCTGTTGGGTCCTAGATAGCTCATTGGTTAGAGCAGTCCCTGGATCGCGAATGGGTTCGAGTCCCATTCCGGGGTACAGGTAGATGGATTCTTCCAGCATTTTTCCTTGAGAATGTTTATATATTTTTTTAATTCGAATAGTTTACTTTTATAATGCTGTTGTGTGTAATGTGTTTTTATGATCATAAAAATCTCTTTTTTCTATATTTAATACTATTACTATTAATACATTGCAATAATAATTATGATTCACATGATTAACAATAAAGCGATTACTTACTTTTAAATCCTTATATATGTTTTATTTAATTATTTTTTATTCACAACGCCCTATCACCAGGGTGACGGTTCTGTTCAGGAGATTTTTTTTAAATACGTAGGCAAAAAAAACTGCCACATTACAAATCTTTTTGACAGGACGAAGTCTGTCGGGTCAGCTAGTTTACAATAATTTTACTGAGTTACCAATTCTAAAATATTCCATTTGTTATAGTCTTCATCAATTAAATATTACTTTGTTACAAAATTTATTATTATTTTAACTAACTTTATTAGGATAATTCCCGTTAAACGCACATGTAAATGTTTTAAATTAAAGAAATTGCATTGAATTAGGTAATATGTACCTAATTAAACACAAGTATATTCTATAAAGTTTACCATTCAATAAAAAGGATACAAAAAATATGACAGTCTCGTTTTATTTGAAACAATTCAAAAATACCAAACTATGTTTGCACGCTCATTCACAAAAAAATTACATATACTTAAAGGTAATTAATGATTTAACACTAAACATTGATGAACAGTTAAAACTTTATGGCGCGGTCGTCGCATGTAAAAGGTCCTAAAATATATATAACTAACAATTTTACCAAACAATCTACTTACTATGAATTCGTACACTCTCGATCTATACAGTTTTATTCATGGGATCACTTTAAAGAATGTTGGTTTTATATATGTGATACTTCTAGATGAGATGAGTATAGTGATTTATTAAAGGAAGAATCATAAATGTGCTTCAAATAAGATATTGTATTTAATCAATTTATCAACTTTAACAAAGTTACCTTCGTTTTGATATTCACTCTAAATAAATAAGAAGTGTTCCAGAAGACCGGAAATATAAAATATCCCATAAATGCATAGATGATCAATAAACAAAATTGTATTATGTTATATATTATTGATGTTTAGTGAGCGTACATTTTTTATCCTATTATGCATGATAACAATGCCATCTTTCGAATTTTATTTTCTCTATGACGATGTGAACTAATTTAATGCGTATTATCTGTCAATTTATACTATTATGAACCTTATGACTAACAGATGTTTTAAGACTATTTATTTTACATTACTTTGTTTTTCCAGTACATACAGCAAGGTATTCGTAGGAAATAAAGTGCGTAGATTTAAACAGATACATTTCAAACTATTATATACCACTTAAGATTTTCACTAGGAAACATAACATGTTACAGCTCATCTACAAACCCATAAAATATTAAGAAGGAGTAGTAGAGCTTTAATGTTTAATTCTTCCAATGTGATGTTTTATAAAATATTCTTATGTATACAATAAGAATTATAATATTTCAAACATATCACAGCAACCCGCATAATATTAAAGTAAATCATTCACAGAAAGTTACATACAATTGTATGACCACAATTCTCGATAGGATTGGTTCAGTTCACACAGACAATAGTTCAATTATTTTTATAGAAGTTCAGTTTAAAATAGACATTTGATTAAATCTAAGAGTTGCAAATAGTAAATGCGTTACATTTACGTTAAAGTGTTAGACAATGTTCGCTTTTCTTTTGTTTCTTAATTG